GTGAGATTAAACCAGAGCGTGGCACAGGAAGTGGTCGCATTCTCCATCGCAATATGTTGATGCCCTGCAATGCATTACCACTCACTCCAGAAATGAGAACAGAACCAATTTACAGTAAATCTAAACAGCACAAGCCAAACAAAAGAAAAGTGAGTGACACATCTGAGCAGGAGGAAAGCACAGATGAAGAGGAGCAATACTGGACTCATAGATTGAGGTGTCACAACCGCCAGGACTTGCCTGAGGAGTCAGTTGCACCCTCTGTAGGACCCAACCGGATCAGCCCGAGCCACTGAGTTGACAATGGACACTAGTGGGCTCAGAGCAAATGCTGAGGAGTTTACCATGGACACTGTGCCAACACAGGACACAGAAATGGACAGTATACTCCCCCAGTGTTTCTTCTCCACATCAGTCTAGATAGACATAGAAACAGTTAATGTAATGGTATTGTGCTGCTCTCCACCAGGTCCCACCCCAGTCACACCCTCCCCTCCGCGGCCTCTGTTTGCACCAACCACGCTCCTGGTGGGGGATTCTATTATCAGACACTGCAAGTTTTTTAATGCCATCACACACTGTTTTTCTGGAGCCACAGTCCCCACCATCCTCATTAAACTACCCGCACTTCTTCAGACAGCACCCTCCACAATAACCCGGAACATAAATCATGTCGGCACAAATGACGCTTCACTCCGCCAATCCGAGACCACAAAACGCCATTTTAAGGATCTTTTTAACCTTTTATCAAACTCAGGAAAAACTGTTTTTATCTCTGGTCCTCTGCCCACTATGAACCGCGGCAGGGAGCGTTTTAGCAGGATTTTATCACTCAACACCTGGCTCAATCAAACATCACTCCATCACAACTTTGGTTTTATAGACAATTTTAATCTGTTCTGGAACCGCTACCCCTTCTTCACACCCGACGGACTTCACATCAACCCACTTGGCAACCGGTACCTGATCTCCAACATCACCCACGCAGTCCAATCCCATCCTACATACCTCTGACAACCCACCCCCACATCCCCTCCTGCCCGTCTGTGCCCCAGCATCAACCCCTGCTCTCTTCCCCAGCACAAAATTACAGTTTTGTCCAGACCCCGCCCCTACAGACCGTCCATACCCAGGAAACCGTCCTTCACCAACCTCATCACTGTTTCCCCCTGCCCTCTCTCATCCTCTGCTCCCCCCACTTCGAACTATGGACTCCCCATCAACAATAACAACCCATCTACCATCAGGTTTGCCCTTTTAAATGTACGCTCCCTTTTAAATAAGACTTTTACTGTTAATGATTTGATTTTAGAACACGAGCTGGATGGTATGTTTTTAACTGAGACCTGGCTGGGTCCGGATGCTCCGGCTGTTCTTACAGAGGCCTCCCCCCCCCAATTTTAACTTTGCTTTTAAAACAAGAGAAGGAAAGAGAGGTGGCGGCACAGCCTCAATATGCAGTAACACCCTGGCCACCAAACCTATTGTTTTTAACTCAATACTCAAGTTTTGAGTATCACTCTCTTGTTTTTAGCAACCCCAAAATTTTAACAGTAATTATTTATAGGCCACCTAAAAAGTGCAGCCTTTTTATTATTGAATTCTCAGCGTTTTTATCACAGTTACACAATTCTTACAATATGATAATTTTAACCGGTGATTTTAACATACACATTGACAATCCCTCTGACAATTTTACCCTAGATTTCTTAGATGTTCTTAATTACATGGATTTTACCCAACACGTCAGACAGCCAACACACAACAGAGGACACACCCTCGACCTGGTCATTACTTATGGCCTGACTGTGTCCTCTGTTGTCGACTTGGCTGTCTCGGACCACTACTGTGTGTTTTTTAACATCACTGGTTTTATTCAGCGTGAGACCTCTGTGAGAACCGTGAGGAAGCGACATCTAACCCCTGAAGTGGCTGCAAATTTTATCGACATCCTAAACAACACTCCCACAACACTTGGTTTTACCTGCCCCCTGTGATTTTATAGCAAATGATTTTAACAGTAGACTTAGTTCTGCGTTGGATCAGGTGGCTCCTTTAAAAACAAAAATCATAAAAACAAAATCTGCACCCCCATGGAGAAATGAAGAAGTACGCAAAATGAAACAAGAGTGCAGGGTGGCAGAACGAAGATGGAGGAAAAATAAAACAACAATCAACTACAAAATATATAAAAACAATCAAAAAGCATACAATTACACAATTAGAAATCATAAGAACAAATACTTTGCAAATCTAATCAGCCAGAAGAAAAATAATCCAAAAATCCTCTTTTCAACCATCGACACCATTTTAAACCCTGATTTTAGCATGTCTCTTTTAACCCCCACAGACTCCCTCTGTGAGGATTTTGCAGTCCACTTCACGGGGAAGATAAATACAATCAGATGTAACATTTTATCCAACCGCACTACTGTTTTTAACACATCTGATTGTTTGTCTTCGCCAGAGGAAACACTGGACAGTTTTGTCCTGGTTGATGCTGAGATGCTTGATAAAGTTTTCTCCTCAGTGAGGCCCACCACATGTCTTTTAGATCCAGTCCCCACTCCATTTTTTAAGTCATTTTATGAATCTTTTAGAGAGGAGCTTTTAAACCTGATGAATTGCTCTCTTCAGACTGGGGTCTTTCCTGCAGCCTTCAAAGCGGCTGTGGTGAGACCCCTTCTGAAGAAGAGCAATTTGGATTTTAATGATCTTAACTACGGACCGGTATCCAACTTACCATTTTTAAGCAAAATTTTAGAAAAACTTGTTTTTACCCAGCTCAATGCCTTTTTAGATCAGCAGCAAATTTGAGAGAAATTTCAATCAGGTTTTAGGGTGAACCACAGCACAGAGACTGCTCTTTTAAAGATTTTAAACGATTTTAGACTAAGTTATGATTTTAAAAAGGTGACTGTGTTGGTTCTACTGGATCTTAGCGCTGCCTTTGATACAGTAGACCACACCATTCTTTTATCACGCCTACAACACCTCGGCCTCTCTGGTGCTGTCCACAAATGGTTCACTTCTTATTTAACAGACAGATCCTTCATGGTGAGTTTGGATACCTGCTCCTCTCAGGTCCATAAAATCACATGTGGTGTGCCCCAGGGTTCCATTTTAGGTCCAGTCCTTTTTAACCTGTACATGCTCCCTCTTGGCGGTGTCGTCAGGAGACATGGAATTGACTTCCAGTTATGCAGATGATACACAGCTGTACATCTCCTGATGATACACAGCTGTACATCTCCATGTCTCTGATGATACTCAGCTGTACATCTCCATGTCTCCTGATGACACCAGGCCAATGGATGCTCTTTTTAACTGCATTTTAGACCTGAAATCCTGGATGGCAGAATAACCAGGACAAAACTGAGGTTTTAGTCATCGGTCCTGAGGCCCAGAGAGAGAAACTTTTATCAAAACTCCAATCACACTCTTTTAATCCATCATCACAAGTGAGAAACCTGGGCGTAAACTTTGACTCTGAGCTGACTTTTATTCCTCACATCAAGAACATCACAAAAATAGGTTTTTATCATTTAAAGAACATCGCCAGAGTCCGCCCCATTCTCTCTCGGGCCAACACGGAGACGCTGATGCTTTTATCACCAGTCGCATTGACTACTGTAATGCCCTGCTCTCTGGGCTTCCCAAAAAGAACATTACAAGTCTTCAATTACTCCAAAACTCGGCCGCACGTGTCCTGACTAAGACCAGGGGGCGGGGCCTGACTAAGACCAGGGGGCGGGGCCTGACTAAGACCAGGGGGCAGGACCACATTACACCGGTTTTAAAATCGCTGCATTGGCTCCCCGTGTGTTTCAGGATCAATTTTAAGGTTCTTTTAATGGTTTCTAAATGTCTTAATGGTCTTGGGCCTTCTTATCTTTCAGATTTGCTTTTATCCTATGAACCTTCCCGGCCCCTGCGCTCCTCCGGCAGCAGACTTCTAACCATCCCCAAAGTCAGGACACACACTCACGGTGAGGCATCTTTCCAGCACTACGGCCCCCGTCTCTGGAACAGTCTGCCGGAGGAGCTCAGGGCCGCAGAGAGCGTTCATATTTTTAAAAGTAGGCTCAAGACACACTTTTTTAGATTAGCTTTTGATTAGTTTTTATTATTCCATTCTATTTATCTTTTATTATTTATTATATTGCTATTGCTATTATTCATGTATTGTGTGTTCCTTTTAGTCTCACATTTTAGTGTTTTACTTATTGTATTGTTTTTAGTGTACCCAGTGTTTCCTCTGGAGGAGCCCTCTGCACTGGGAGCGGTGGTCGGCATGGCTGTGGGGGTCGGACTCTTGGGCCTGGTGGGGGCCTGGGGCCTCGGTTTCATGTCTCCTCTGGGTCCTGTGTCGTCCCCTGTGGCTACAGGCGGCTCTCTGCTCCTGGTGCAGACGGCTCCTTGGATGACGCTTTTTCAGCTGGTTGCATCTGAACACTGCCAAGTCTCTCATCATGGTTTTATTGTTTTACGTGTGTGTGTGTGTGTGTGTGTGTGTGTGTGTGTGTGTGTGTGTGTGTATGAGCGTTCATGAGCGCGTGTGTGTGTTTCTGTGGTTCGGGGTGGGTCTGTTGGGTGGTCTGGGGGAGGGGTCTTGGGTCGGCGGGATTGTTTTTAACCAAACTGTAAAGCACTTTGTGTTGCATCTTTTGTATGAAAAGCGCTTTATAAATAAAATTTGATTGATTGATTGAAGTATATCAGTTGTCATAATGGTCCTTTCAGGAAGCACTGAATGCCCTCAGTCCAAAGGAGCTGACGACCAGACCCTCCAACACCTGGCCAACCACCTTGGTGCGTCTGTGAAAGGGGCCAAGAGATGCCAACAGACACTGAAAACGTGCTGTCCTCAGCGACCACGGTGCATGTCCACGGTGCATGTCCACGGGGCATGTCCACGCTGCATGTCAACGCTGCATGTCCACGCTGCATGTCCACGGTGCATGTCCACGCTGCATGTCCACGGTGCATGTCCACGGTGCATGTCCACGCTGCATGTGGTGCATGTCCACGGTGCATGTCCACGCTGCATGTCCACGGTGCATGTCCACGGTGCATGTCCACGGTGCATGTCCACGGTGCATGTCCACGGTGCATGTCCACGCTGCATGTCCACGCTGCATGTCCACGCTGCATGTCCACGCTGCATGTCCACGCTGCATGTCCACGGTGCATGTCCACGCTGCATGTCCACGCTGCATGTGCTGCATGTCCACGCTGCATATCCACGGTGCATGTCCACGCTGCATGTCCACGCTGCATGTCCACGGTGCATGTCCACGGTGCATGTCCACGCTGCCACATATGGAAGTGATCGTAGCTGCCACATATTCACAATAAACAACAGACAGCTAACGCTATTTCACAAGGGAACTCCCGTTAATGAAGGGGGACGCTTTCGTGGTGCTTTAGTGGCATCAGAGCCTGGTCCGACCATATCGTACTCGTTTTAATTTCGTACATGTAGGGAATTAATATTTTAGAGTTTACGGATCGCTGAGGCCAGGCTAAGGCTTTGATGTTGTGCTGTCTTTCTCATAGCTAACGCTAGATAATGCGCGGTTATCGCCACAAAATCGAGCATATTTCACTGACAGCTGTGGATTTTTAACAAGCTAGCTTGATGAAATCCCACATTACAGTCTATCTCAGGCAAATATTTGTATAATTACTACTACTACAACAGCCACTACTGAGTAAAATGATGCTTACCTGTTCTGTGGGGAAAAGACTAGTCGGGTTTTACATCCATGATTCCTCCACCAATCTAAAGGTCGCCAATAAAATGTAAATCCTCATTTAGTCAGACTGCGTTTGCAGTAAAAGGGCCACTACTCTGGAACGTTTTGCCTGCGGAACTGAAATCTAATCTAATATCCATCCATCCATTTTCTTCCCCTTAATCCATTTCTGGGTCGGGGGGGGTGGCCAGAGCTGCACCCAGTACACAGAGCACCAGCCCCTCCCTGATCCTCCTGCAGGTGGTGAGTCCACAGGAGCTGAGATCTTTCAGCGGGGGCTTCAGGCAAAGTGGGGTTAAGTGTCTTGCCCAAGGACACAACGACAGCAGTTATCAGTGGGAGTCGTGAAGTAGGTCTTACGGTGGGCTTGAACCCACGAACTTCAGGCTCAAAGGCCAATGCTCTACCAACTGAGCTACTGTCGCCCCTAATCTAATCTAATATTTTGTACTGTGTAATTGATAGTTACCTAGTGTAACTCAAGTTCTACGAATGGTGCGTAGGCACTTAGGCTCACTGTGGGTATACTCTAGAAGCCCGAGCTTCCCGCCAGAGAGAAATCAACGCTCCAATCACGGACGAGTACCTCCTATAAATGCCCCTCTGTAGTCCGTGCCTGCCACTTTGAACTCTGCCAATGCCATGCTGGACTGATGGGCCCGTAGCTAAGTGGCTACGCACCATTCGTAGAACTTAAGTTACACTAGGTAACTATCAATTCTACATCATGGTGCTAACGCCACTTAGGCTCGCTGTGGGTACCACGCGAAGCCGCAGAGAGATGTACTCCCATCAGGCCAGCGTACAGTGATTGGAGCCCTGCCCGAATCCCCACCACACTGCCAAGGTGCGTGGACTTGGGGCAGGAAGAAGAGCAGTGTACGAGGCCGCTCCTACCAAGGACACTGACAAGCCCCTGAAGAGCACGAACAGAGTAAGGGCCGCTCCTACCAAGGACGCCCTCACTCTGACAAGACCCCCATTGGAGTAAGCAAGAAAAACATTCCCAGGACGCCTCTACCAAGAGCTCCTGAAAGAATGGTAAAAACCGGTTACGGGAAGAGCAGGTCACAACCCCAGGACGCCTCTACCAAGAGCTCCTGAAGGGCGGACTAGAGCAACCGCAGTTAGACCCCCGCGTTCAGAACGGAATGAGCGACCGACCGTTCTGAAACATCAACTAAATTATACAGAGCAAAGGAAGAGGACGAAGCCCAAGCCGCGCTTGGCAGACGTCCTCTACTGAGGCCCCCCGGAGCAGAGCTGTGGAGGCCGCGACTGCTCGTGTGGAGTGCGCCCTGAACCCTACCGGGGGAACCAATTCCTGGACCTGGTATGCCAAGCAAATCGCCCGGGATACCCAGTGCGCTGAGGCGTCAACGGCGCGCCCCCTGTTCTTAGGGCCCACGCACACAAACAGCTGATTAGAACGTCTGAAAGAAGCTGTGACGGCCAGGTAGGATTTCAGCATCCTGATTGGGCACAACAGATGAAAGGGTCGGACCCTGATGACCCTTGACCTAAAGGCCGAAGAAACAACCTTAGGCAGAAAGGCTGGGTTCGGCCAAAGCTCAACTACACCATCCTCAGCACCAAACGCCAGGCATTCTGGGCGAACGGAGAGTGCGCATAGTTCACCTGCCCTCTCTGTTGAGACCAGAGCCAGCAAGAGGGCGGTCTTGAGAGCCACACATTTGAGGCTGGCCTGGGCTACAGGCTCGAAGGGCGGCCCCGATAACCCCCTCAGGACCACCTTGAGGTCCCAGAGTGGAGGCGTTCTCCGGAAAACGTGCCTCTTCCAGTGGGCCCCCCGAAGGAAACGTTTGACCAGCCGGTGGGAACGGGCCGAAAAGGTCAAGGTTCCCTCACCGCCATGCCCCTCAGGAACGGGATTGTCCGTGGGCCGCAGCGCGAACCAGAGTGGGCACAGAGCGTTGTCTGCACTGGCGAATAGGTCAACCCCCGGCCGACCGAACCTCTGCCTCTGCGTGACCAGGCCCCACTCCTCCCTGAGTGGGCCCCCCCTTGACAATAGATCCGCCCCTGTGTTCCTGTCTTCGGGAACATGGCGTGCTCTGAGAGACAGCAGATTCACAGCCGTCCAGAGCAGAATGATAGCTGCCAGGCGATGGAGACCGGGGGACCTCATGCCCCCTTGCCTGTTCATGTAGGCCACGACTGTGGTGTTGTCCGAGCGCACCGTCACGTGCCTCCTCTGCAGCAGTGGAGCAAAGTCAGCGCCGTGGTGGCTAGTCGTGAGATGTTCTCCTGTCTGTCCACGGATAGGGCAGCTCGGAACTCCACCGAGTCCAGTTGCAGACCGAGATAGAGCGTGCGCTGGATAGGCTGTAACCTGCTCTTCTCTCTGTTCACCACAAAGCCCAGCCGCTGTATGTGGGACACAACCCAGCGCATGTGATCCAAGGCCACTTCCTTGGACTGGGCCAGAATTAACCAATCGTCTAAATAGGTTAATAATCTGACCCCCGGGCGTCTGAGCGGCAGCAGAGCCAGTGCGTACCCGAATGGGAGGCGGCAGTACTCGTAGCACCTTCCTCCCACAATGAAGCGCAGAAAGCGTCTGTGCTCTGGCACTATCGCTACGTGGAAGTAAGCGTCTGTCAGATCGATGGTAGACATCCAGTCTCCGGGCCTGACACATTCCAGCAGCTGAGCAAGCGGAACGGCCGCCTGGAGATACACTGGTTGAGAGCGCGCAGATACAGAATGGGGCGCACTCCCCCATACTTCTTGGGAACCAAGAAGTATGGGGGACCCCCTGTAAGCGTCCTGCAGGTCGACCTGGACCGCAGCGCCTCTTATTAGCAGAGAGGCTACCTTCTCTTAGAGAGCCTCCTCTGTCTGTGTAGGGCATAGCCTCTGCGTAACGTTCTGTCCAACCACGCGTCTGAGAGGAGCCCCTGCTCTCTCCAGACCTGGTAAAAAGACGTGAGAAGGGGCACCAGGCCCGTGACACCTGTCCTTAACGCCCCCCACTCTCCTGGCGCCTGTGATTGGTAAAAGACGATAGTAACAAACGCATACACAGTGCTCTGAAGTGTGCTGAAAAACTATGAACAATTACATTGATTGTTTTTCCTATTTTTTTTTTTTTCCCATGTATACTGGGAAAAAACAAGAATAGATTTCTTGATTTAAGCAATTTTCTTCCAATGAAAAGGTCAGATTTAAGCCATCCATTTTCTACCCTTTAATCCATTTCTGGGTCAGGGGGGTGGCAGTCAGAGATGCCACCCAAGTCTCATAGCACCAGCCCCTCACTGACCCTCTGCAGGTGGTGAGTCCACAGGAGGCCAATTTAAGCCAAATATTCTTATTATTAAAAAAAAAGAAAAAGGACAGATTTCTTTATTTAACTGGAGCTGGAGCAGGAGCTGGAGCAGGAGCAGGAGCAGGAGCTGGAGCAGGAGCAGGAGCAGGAGCTGGAGCTGGAGCAGGAGCAGGAGCAGGAGCAGCAGCTGGAGCAGGAGCAGGAGCTGGAGCAGGAGCAGGAGCAGGAGCTGGAGCAGTAGCAGGAGCAGGAGCAGGAGCTGGAGCAGGAGCAGGAGCAGGAGCAGGAGCTGGAGCAGGAGCAGGAGCAGGAGCAGGAGCTGGAGCAGCAGGAGCTGGAGCAGCTGGAGCTGGAGCAGGAGCAGGAGCAGGAGCAGGAGCTGGAGCTGGAGCTGGAGCAGGAGCAGGAGCAGGAGCTGGAGCTGGAGCAGGAGCAGGAGCAGGAGCAGGAGCAGGAGCAGGAGCAGGAGCTGGAGCAGGAGCAGGAGCAGGAGCTGGAGCAGCTGGAGCTGGAGCAGGAGCTGGAGCAGGAGCAGGAGCAGGAGCAGGAGCAGGAGCAGGAGCAGGAGCTGGAGCAGGAGCAGGAGCAGCAGCAGGAGCTGGAGCTGGAGCAGGAGCTGGAGCTGGAGCTGGAGCAGGAGCAGGAGCTGGAGCTGGAGCAGGAGCAGGAGCAGGAGCTGGAGCTGGAGCAGGAGCTGGAGCAGGAGCAGGAGCTGGAGCAGGAGCAGCTGGAGCAGGAGCAGGAGCAGGAGCTGGAGCAGGAGCAGGAGCAGGAGCAGGAGCTGGAGCAGGAGCAGGAGCAGGAGCAGGAGCAGGAGCAGGAGCAGGAGCTGGAGCAGGAGCTGGAGCAGGAGCAGGAGCAGGAGCTGGAGCTGGAGCAGGAGCAGGAGCAGGAGCTGGAGCAGGAGCAGGAGCAGGAGCTGGAGCTGGAGCAGGAGCAGGAGCAGGAGCTGGAGCAGGAGCTGGAGCAGGAGCAGGAGCAGGAGCTGGAGCAGGAGCAGCTGGAGTAGGAGCAGGAGCAGGAGCTGGAGCTGGAGCTGGAGCTGGAGCAGGAGCAGGAGCAGGAGCTGGAGCTGGAGCAGGAGCAGGAGCAGGAGCTGGAGCTGGAGCTGGAGCAGGAGCTGGAGAAAGGAGCAGGAGCAGGAGCTGGAGCTGGAGCTGGAGCAGGAGCAGGAGCAGGAGCAGGAGCTGGAGCTGGAGCAGGAGCTGGAGCTGGAGCAGGAGCAGGAGCTGGAGCAGGAGCAGGAGCAGCAGCAGGAGCTGGAGCTGGAGCAGGAGCTGGAGCTGGAGCTGGAGCTGGAGCAGGAGCAGGAGCTGGAGCTGGAGCAGGAGCTGGAGCAGGAGCAGGAGCTGGAGCTGGAGCAGGAGCAGGAGCAGGAGCTGGAGCAGGAGCTGGAGCAGGAGCAGGAGCAGGAGCTGGAGCAGGAGCAGCTGGAGCAGGAGCAGGAGCAGGAGCTGGAGCTGGAGCTGGAGCTGGAGCAGGAGCAGGAGCAGGAGCAGGAGCTGGAGCAGGAGCAGGAGCAGGAGCTGGAGCAGGAGCAGGAGCAGGAGCTGGAGCAGGAGCTGGAGCAGGAGCAGGAGCAGGAGCTGGAGCAGGAGCAGCTGGAGCAGGAGCAGGAGCAGGAGCTGGAGCTGGAGCAGGAGCAGGAGCAGGAACAGGAGCTGGAGCAGGAGCAGGAGCAGGAGCTGGAGCAGCTGGAGCTGGAGCAGGAGCTGGAGCAGGAGCAGGAGCAGGAGCTGGAGCTGGAGCTGGAGCAGGAGCAGGAGCAGGAGCAGGAGCTGGAGCAGGAGCAGGAGCAGGAGCTGGAGCTGGAGCAGGAGCTGGAGCTGGAGCTGGAGCAGGAGCAGGAGCAGGAGCTGGAGCAGGAGCAGGAGCAGCAGCAGGAGCTGGAGCTGGAGCTGGAGCTGGAGCAGGAGCAGGAGCTGGAGCTGGAGCAGGAGCAGGAGCAGGAGCTGGAGCAGGAGCAGGAGCAGGAGCTGGAGCTGGAGCAGGAGCTGGAGCTGGAGCAGGAGCAGGAGCAGGAGCTGGAGCAGGAGCAGGAGCAGCAGCAGGAGCTGGAGCTGGAGCAGGAGCAGGAGCTGGAGCTGGAGCTGGAGCAGGAGCAGGAGCTGGAGCTGGAGCAGGAGCAGGAGCAGGAGCAGGAGCTGGAGCTGGAGCAGGAGCAGGAGCAGGAGCTGGAGCAGGAGCAGGAGCAGGAGCTGGAGCAGGAGCAGCTGGAGCAGGAGCAGGAGCAGGAGCTGGAGCTGGAGCTGGAGCTGGAGCAGGAGCAGGAGCAGGAGCAGGAGCTGGAGCTGGAGCAGGAGCAGGAGCAGGAGCTGGAGCTGGAGCTGGAGCAGGAGCTGGAGCAGGAGCAGGAGCAGGAGCAGGAGCAGGAGCTGGAGCTGGAGCAGGAGCAGGAGCTGGAGCAGGAGCTGGAGCTGGAGCTGGAGCAGGAGCAGGAGCAGGAGCAGGAGGAGGAGGAGCAGGAGCTGGAGCTGGAGCAGGAGCTGGAGCTGGAGCAGGAGCAGGAGCTGGAGCAGGAGCAGGAGCAGGAGCAGGAGCTGGAGCTGGAGCGGAGCAGGAGCAGGAGCTGGAGCTGGAGCAGGAGCAGGAGCAGGAGCAGGAGCAGGAGCTGGAGCAGGAGCTGGAGCAGGAGCTGGAGCTGGAGCTGGAGCTGGAGCAGGAGCTGGAGCAGGAGCAGGAGCTGGAGCTGGAGCTGGAGCTGGAGCAGGAGCTGGAGCAGGAGCAGGAGCTGGAGCAGGAGCAGGAGCTGGAGCTGGAGCAGGAGCAGGAGCAGGAGCTGGAGCTGGAGCAGGAGCTGGAGCAGGAGCAGGAGCAGGAGCTGGAGCTGGAGCTGGAGCTGGAGCAGGAGCTGGAGCTGGAGCAGGAGCTGGAGCTGGAGCTGGGGCAGGAGCAGGAGCAGGAGCTGGAGCAGGAGCAGGAGCAGGAGCAGGAGCTGGAGCAGGAGCTGGAGCTGGAGCAGGAGCTGGAGCAGGAGCAGGAGCAGGAGCAGGAGCTGGAGCTGGAGCTGGAGCAGGAGCAGGAGCTGGAGCAGGAGCAGGAGCAGGAGCAGGAGCTGGAGCTGGAGCAGGAGCAGGAGCTGGAGCAGGAGCTGGAGCTGGAGCTGGAGCTGGAGCTGGAGCAGGAGCAGGAGCAGGAGCTGGAGCTGGAGCTGGAGCAGGAGCTGGAGCTGGAGCTGGAGCAGGAGCAGGAGCAGGAGCAGGAGCTGGAGCTGGAGCAGGAGCAGGAGCAGGAGCTGGAGCAGGAGCTGGAGCTGGAGCTGTAGCTGGAGCTGGAGCTGGAGCTGGAGCAGGAGCAGGAGCTGGAGCTGGAGCTGTAGCTGGAGCTGGAGCTGGAGCAGGAGCAGGAGCTGGAGCAGGAGCAGGAGCTGGAGCTGGAGCAGGAGCTGGAGCAGGAGCAGGAGCTGGAGCTGGAGCTGTAGCTGGAGCTGGAGCTGGAGCTGGAGCAGGAGCAGGAGCAGGAGCTGGAGCTGGAGCTGGAGCTGGAGCTGGAGCAGGAGCAGGAGCTGGAGCAGGAGCAGGAGCTGGAGCTGGAGCTGGAGCAGGAGCTGGAGCAGGAGCAGGAGCTGGAGCAGGAGCTGGAGCTGGAGCTGGAGCTGGAGCAGGAGCAGGAGCAGGAGCTGGAGCTGGAGCAGGAGCAGGAGCTGGAGCAGGAGCAGGAGCTGGAGCTCGAGCTGGAGCTGGAGCAGGAGCTGGAGCAGGAGCAGGAGCAGGAGCTGGAGCAGGAGCAGGAGCAGGAGCAGGAGCTGGAGTGAAGTGGCTGCAACTTGCACAAGTTTCTGAGATCGGCACAAAACATGAGATCAGACGAGGGCATCAAAAACTTAGCAAAAATAGCAAAAGGCCTGAGGTGTCTCACGATGTACTGAGGACCTGACAGTGTGTCAGTGTCACAGGTGTCTGTGGTTCCTCTGATGCACGAGGGTCTGAGGACAGTGATTGTGTCAGTGTCACAGGTGTCTGTGGTTCCTCTGATGCAGGAGGGTCTGAGGACAGTGATTGTGTCAGTGTCACAGGTGTCTGTGGTTCCTCTGATGCAGGAGGGTCTGAGGACAGTGATTGTGTCAGTGTCACAGGTGTCTGTGGTTCCTCTGATGCAGGAGGGTCTGAGGACAGTGATTGTGTCAGTGTCACAGGTGTCTGTGGTTCCTCTGATGCAGGAGGGTCCGTAGGCCGCTGAGGACAGTGATTGTGTCAGTGTCTCAGGTGTCTGTGGTTCCTCTGATGCAGGAGGGTCTGAGGACAGACGTGCCGATTGCGAGTTGTTCAAACTTACGTGAAAGATGAGTGATCGCTTCGTGACGTGATGTTGCGTTACCACGGGTAGAATGAGTCTCCTGTACTGTTTCCTTCGTGCTCCCCTGTGTTCACCGCCAGCCCGCTGTCCTGTCCCGCCTAGTCAGTCCGCCTCGTAGGCGCATCTGGTGGTTGCCGTGTTTGTGACCTTCATAGCGGCTGCTGTTGTCCGTAATGACTCGTTGTGCCTGGTGCCAATGGGTGTTGTCTGCTGGCACTGGTCCGCTCTCGGAGTACTCCTCGAACCCTTTCGCCTTTTTCCTGCTAACAGTATCTCGGACCTGCCTGGTGTGTTCCTTTGTCTTCATGGTTCTCTCTGTGCTTTAAACAGAACCCTGAGACTATCAAAGAGCAGGTGCTGATATACGGAGACTTGATTACACACAGGTGCATTCTATTTATCATCATCAGTCATTTAGGACAACATTGGATCATTCAAAGATCCTCACTGAACTTCTGGAGTGAGTTTGCTGCACTGAAAGTAAAGGGGCCGAATAATATTGCACGCCCCACTTTTCAGTTTTTTATTTGTTAAAAATGTTTAAATTATCCAATACATTTTGTTCCACTTCACGATTGTGTCCCACTTGTTGTTGATTCATGACAAAAAACAAATTTTTTATATCTTTATGTTTGAAGCCTGAAATGTGGCGAAATGTTGAAAGGTTCAAGGGGGCCGAATACTTTCGCAAGGCACTGTATATATATATATATATATTATATATATTATTATATATATACCTACGCTATATTATTTACAGTATAGCGTATATTTGTTTTTAAACAAGCCTTTTGATGCTTCCAAACAGTCTTCCTGGCCGAGTTCCGTGCTGACCTGTCGTAAATACAGGGCGTGGAACTGACGGTTTCTGAATATTTCTAGACGTGACTTTAATACGCTAGTTTTCACCACAGCATTTATCAACAGCTGCGTATGCTGAGATATGTGCGTATCTCACACGTTCATAAATCCCACGTTGAGTCTGGCGTAAATGGAATATACACCAAACATACAGTATACACCCTTTTCTGCGCAAGATTCATACATGAGGGCCATTGAGAGAGTGGACTCCTACAAGTACCTGGGTGTTCATCTGAACCACAAGCTGGACTGGAATCATAACAAACGCCCTCTTCAAGAAGGGAAATTGCCGACTACCTGCTGAGGAGGCTCAGGTCTTTTGGAGTGCAGGGGCCAAAAGACCAGCCACTTTGTACGGTGTGGTCTGCTGGAGCAGCAAAATTACAGAGAGGGACAGAAAGAAGCTGGACAAGGTCATTAGAAGTCCAGCTCAGTCCTGGGCTGTTCCCTAGACACAGTGCAGCAGGTGGGGGACAGGAGGATCCTAGACAAACTAATATGACCATGACTGTCACCCAATCTAAAAGCTCTCACTAAAATGTATTTACTCGTGTAAAAGTGTGATTGTCTGTTGTACGTAGTGAGCTAGCAACATTTAGCCATCGATAGCAAGCTAAGCTAAAATGTCCTTCCTGCGCTAATGTGCTGTATTTTGCTCTTTCACCTGTTGCCATTCTGTTTTGTGCTTGTACTTAAGTTGTCGTGTGTGTATGTATTTGTTTGAGAATCCCTTCCCACAAGTGTAAAGATTACTGACGAGAAATGAGTGATTCGAGTACTTCACTTTCCCCTCATCAAGAGACATACGTACTTTGGAATTTGTAAATTGTTGGTTTTGTACTTTACTTTTGTTTTTAATAAATCTGTTATTGTATCAAGACTTTATTTCATTAATTTGTCTGTACAAATGCATAAAACGGGTTCAAATTACGATTTCCTACCACATACTTTTACTTCTATTTACATTACATTTGTCAGTAAATCCGTATAACTGTGGTAAATTTATTAACGCGGATGGAGGCATATTTGCTCAATACAAAAAGGTTTTATTTTTAATCAAAACACACAGCTCAACCTTAGCTGACAGAGAACCTACAGCTTGCATAAAGGCCGGATTTTGTGGGGATTTTAGTGTCCCTTGTTATCCTGAACTTAGTCAGCCACCAATTGTGCAAGATCTCCCACTTAAAATAATGACAGAGGTCTGTAATTTTCATCATAGGTTCACTTCAACTGTGAGAGACAGAATATGAAAAAAGAATCCAGGAATTCACATTGTAGGATTTTTAAAGAATTTATTTGTAAATTATGGTGGAAAATAAGTATTTGGTCACTTCAAACTAGGAAGATCTCTGGCTCTCACAGACCTGTAACTTCTTCTTTAAGAAGCTCTTCTGTCCTCCACTTGTTACCTGTATTAATGGCACCTGTTTGAACTCGTTATCTGTATAAAAGACACCTGTCCACATCCTCAAAACAGTCAAGACTCCAAACTCCACTATGGCCAATACCAAAGAGTTGTCGAAGTACACCAGGGAAAGAATTGTAGACCTGCACCAGACTGGGAAGAGTGAATCTACAATAGGCAAGCAGCTTGGTGTGAACAAATCAACTGTGGGAGCAATTATCAGAAAATGGAAGACATACAAGACCACTGATAATCTCCCTCGATCTGGGGCTCCACGCAAGATCTCATCCCGTGGGGTCAAAATGATGATGAGAACGGTGATCAAAAATCCCAGAACCACACGGGGGGACCTGGTGAATGACCTGCAGAGAGCTGGGACCAAAGTAACAAAGGTTACCATCAGTAACACACTACGACGACAGGGAATCAAATCCTGCAGTGCCAGACGTGTCCCCCTGCTGAAGCCAGTGCATGTCCAGGCCCGTCTGAAGTTTGCCAGAGAGCACATGGATGATACAGCAGAGGATTGGGAGAATGTCATGTGGTCAGATGAAACCAAAGTAGAGCTGTTTGGTATAAACTCAACTCGTCGTGTTTGGAGGAAGAAGAATACTGAGTTGCATCCCAAGAACACCATACCTACTGTGAAGCATGGGGGTGGAAACGTCATGCTTTGGGGCTGTTTTTCTGCTAAGGGGACAGGACGACTGATCCGTGTTAAGGAAAGAATGAATGGGGCCATGTATCGTGAGATTTTGAGCCAAAACCTCCTTCCATCAGTGAGAGCTTTGAAGATGAAACGTGGCTGGGTCTTCCAGCATGACAATGATCCCAAACACACCGCCCGGGCAACGAAGGAGCGGCTCCGTAAGAAGCATTTGAAAGTCCTGGAGTGGCCTAGCCAGTCTCCAGACCTCAACCCCATTGAAAATCTGTGGAGGGAGTTGAAAGTCCGTGTTCACTGCTCTCGAGAAGATCTGCATGGAGGAATGGGCCAAAATACCAGCTCCTGTGTGTGCAAACCTGGTAAAGACCTATAGTAATTGTTTGACCTCAGTTATTGCCAAAAAAGGTTATATTACAAAGTATCGAGTTGAATTTTTGTTATTGACCAAATACTTATTTTCCACCAAAATTTACAAATACATTCTTTAAAAATCCTACAATGTGAATTTTTTCTCATTCTGTCTCTCACAGTTGAAGTGTACCTATGGTGAAAATTACAGACCTCTGTCATTATTTTAAGTGGGAGAACTTGCACAATCGGGGGCTGACTAAATACTTTTTTGTCCCACTGTACATGTATTTTAAATAACTAAGTTATGCATTGAACTTGGAAAAAAAACTTATTTCAAATGACAAAAAGTAATGCATCAGACCAATGTTGCTAGTAAAGCGTTGCGCGTAAATTACTTGGTCTGACAACCCCTCCCACACTGAGGAGAAACTTGGCGGTACCATTTTTTACGGAAAAGCACTCACACTCATCCGCGCCACAACGTGCCGTGCCGTTACTGTGGAAAAGCGGCATAATACTATCACTGAGCCTGCACCAGGAGCCAGCGGCAAAGTCTGGTTATTGTCACAGTGCTCGCTGGACTGAACGCACAAACACACAAGACGCAAAACAATATTGTATTGCGCTTATACTATAGTATACTATAGTTTGTTCACTTTGGTTTGTCATTTATAGTGTTTATTGTTGTAATATTGTTATTCTGTGACTTACTGTTCTTGACATAAATACAGCGCCACCTAATGGATGAATACTGGCCATTCTTTCAGGTATAGTTTGTCATGGGCTCCACTTTCAATATGTAAATGTTGATGTTTTTGAGTACTTTTTGAAATATTCAAGCAACACTTTGTGGATGTGAGTGTGTGCCATAAAACATTTTTTTGCATCCACATCCATCCATCCATCCATTTTCTACCCTTTAATCCATTTCTGGGTCAGGGGGGTGGCAGTCAGAGATGCCACCCAAGTCTCATAGCACCAGCCCCTCACTGACCCTCTGCAGGTGGTGAGTCCACAGGAGGACGGCTGCTCTCTGACTGTGAGCATAGCCTTGATCTTTCAGTGGGGGCTTTGGGCAAAGTGGGGTTAAGTGTCTTGCCCAAGGACACAACGACAGCAGTCATCAGTGGGAGTCGGTGGAGAAGGTGTAGAGGTGGGAGCATTGGCCTGAAGGCCAATGCTCTACCAACTGAGCTACTGTCGCCCCGCATCAACAACACTTTTTAAAACAAATATATAGCCCTTAAATATTTATTTTGCATTTCATTTATTCAAAAGGACTACTTGTTAAAATGTGTTGAGAATATAAGATATTTTAATTATGTTTGTAATTTTGTCCCAGTCATTGACAGCGTCAATCAAAATTAAGTTACACAGTTTACATCATGTGCAGCGACAAAGCGTGTCCTGCTGTTGTTTTTCCAAGGTGTTTGGAGGCTACAAACAAATAATACCTGCTTTAAAATTAAACGTGGTTAATATCCACAACAGAAAAACCGGAGGGAGAGAAAAGCCACATGTGCCAGAGGTGAGGGGGAGAAAAGTCACATGTGAGGTCAGGCTGATGGTGCGAAGACTGCAGAGGGAGAGAGGGCAGCCGTGGGAGAGAAGGCAGCGGAGGGAGAGGGGGCAGCGGTAGAACACCGCAGTATAGCGAGGTCCGCACATGAAAAGCGGGTGGCCGCTTTATGCTGCTACGTACGGTAAAAAGTGCATTGTGGCGGCTCATCCCCGCGGCTTCTCTTTACAACGTTTGTTAGTAGCAGCATAAAGCGGCCACCCGCTTTTAATGTGCGGATCTCTTTACCACTGACTCCGAAAAGCCGGGCGTCTTTACCTCGGTCGGAGAACAGTGAGGGCGAGCCGCAAGAAATGCGTTCCACTGGGCTGGCGAGTGCAGCTTGGTAGTGGCGCGAGTCTCTATAAAGCGTTACTCCGAAACAAGGAAATACTGCTCATTTCATGTGACGGGAAGGGCTGTTGAGGTGGGGGGTTGCGGGGGAGCAGCGCATTTATCATGGGGGTCGCGGGCTAAAAACTTTGGGAACCCCTGATTTAATCAACGTGAAAACATCGCTGGAGAACATCGCTGGAGATGCGTGCTTGCATGTTAATGCCAGGAGGAAGCAGGCTTTGAGGATGCTAATGTCGAAGGCCTTGTCACATTGTTCTTTGTTGGTTCTTCCTGTCCTATATGCATAATGGAGTTGTGTCTTATCTCCTTCAATATTGCCTTATTATTAACAAGGTTAGAGAGATTAAAGATAAACTTCCTCTCCTTCCTCCAATCAAGCTTCCGATGACCCTCCTCCTCAGAGCTGGTCATCCTTCGAGGCAGTCACTCAATTGAATATTTTATCCACCATTAGCAGCATGAAAGTGTCGTGTTGCCGTCTAGATGTTGTCCCAACTCGGCTGTTTGGTAATGTTTTAGAGTCTATCGGTCCGTCGATCATTAAAATGTGTTCAGCTGGTATGTTCCTGTGTTCTCTTAAACATGCTGTTGTGGAGCCCCAACCCACAGCAAAGCCCATATTTGTCCAATCTTGAAGTCCTTACACTCGCTCCCGGTCTCACACAGAATCAATTTTAAAATTCTGGTACTGACATTCAGGGCTCTTCATCGTTAGGCGCCTGAATACATCAAGGGCCTGATCCACCCCTATGTCTCCAACAGAAGCCCGAGGTCCTCCACTCAGAACCTGTTGATGGCCCCCCTCTCGTTTTAAAACCCGAGAAAACAGATCCTTCCAGGCAGTTGCTCCTGGTCTTTGGAATGAGCTTCCCCTGTCTCTGCAAATGTTAATCTGTTGATGATTTGAAGTCCCAACTAAAGACTTATTTGTTTAGACAGGCTTTCTTGCCTCTGTGTTCATGATGAGGACAGTCTTCTGTTTTTTTCGTTTTTAAATGTGCCTTGTATGTGTAAGCGAAGCGCTTTGTGATCCTGGTCTGTGAAAGGCGCTATACAAATAAACTTTTCTTACTCACTTACTTGACAAGAATAATTTCTTGATTTAGAAAGAAAATATCACAATAGATAACCCAAAGATAATAGAGGGCGTTAAACTACTAGTCCATAATCAGTGAGTGTGACACCAACAGTTACTGAGCTAGAAGAGTTTACTTTAAGTCACTGAAACTGTAACAACTGTTAGTCAATAGGAGCCAAAGAGTTGGCGCAACGCTTTTTTGTAGAGTGAGCAAGTTAGACCAGCGACTGTGTAAAGGAAGGGACTAAGAAAATATTCTGTACCTTTTTCTTCTGCTCTTCTGAGGCCTTGATGATTCCTGGGTCAGACTTCCAGGACTTCCCAAAGTTATAGAAGAGGAACACTGTGGTGATGAGGAAGGGCACGTGGACTGTGGCGAAAGGCAGCAGTGCGGCGGAGTCAAAGAAGAACATGCTTCATTAGTAAGTAAGTAAGTAAGTAATCTTTATTTATATACCACCTTTCACAGCCCAGAGTCACAAAGCGGTTTACAATTGTCATTTTTTTAGACATGATGGCTCCCATCTCTCAGAGATGGGAGCGGGGTCGCCAGTACAGGCGGCGCATGCCAAACCTATTGTACATGTTTTTAGTGGTAGGGGAAACCGGGAAACCATTATATACAGACATCCAGACAAGAGAAAACAGGTATATTTTGTTCCTAAACAGGCTAGAAAATATTTACTTCAGCATTCAATGTTTCAGAATGTAGAAAATACATAAACTGTATTTAGACGTATAATGGTAGTCATACCATTATATAACCATTATACCATGGAAGCAGCCCATTTTTTATTTTTTTTTTAAAACTTGACAGTCAATTTACTTTCTTTGCAACATCTTTGCAACAAATTGTGGGGAGTGGTGATGCTAGGTGGATGCAAGGACCAGCGGGGACATGCAGTTTTTACTGTATGTCCTAGAACAGGATTACACAACCTCTGTCTCAGCTTCACTCTGACCTAGGGCTGGGCGATATGGCTGAAAACTATATAACGATATAAGTCATTCATATCGGTCGATAACTATATATATTGAGTTTTTTTTTTTTTACCTAAATAAATATATTTGTGGTGTGGGCTAACCAACCTTAGCAGCCTTGTTTACAGTCACGGGGCGATGAGGCTGGAGGAATATGTTCACACTGTGTCCCTCGTTGTTAGCCCTGGTTTAATCCTGGTTTTTTATTCCTGGTTTAGCTCCTGGTTTAGCTGTTTGAGGGTCTTGTGTCCCCGTGACCGCTCCGTGCGGCTCTCTGTGCTGCACATGCTTCCCGAGGAAAAAGTTAATCTCTTGCTTTCGCCGAATACATGGTGTCTGTCCACTGCCTCTGCACATGTTATTCCGCGCACGTACGTGCATAACCATTGACACGGCATTGAAACACGAGCTATAGATCCATGGACGCCACGCATGGTGCGGTTGTTGGTGTTTTTGCATTTCCCAGAAAGTTTTGCGGTTCCTGCTCGGCTGTTATTGGTCGAGAAGCCTCCGCCTACATCCCCCACAATGCCATGCGCTTATGAGTCGGCTTTACTTCCGGTGTTTTCTTCCTGTTTTTCCTGACGGAGTTAAGTTAAACTATCGAACATTCTATCGACCCCATTCTCTATTGATATCGAACACATGTCTATCGCGATATATATCGTTATCGTTTTATTGCCCAGCCCTACTCTGACCCCTAGAGCATTTAGAGCCACTTTGTAATGAATGACCCTGTTTCAATTCAGCTGCGTCCCGGATCAACCCACACAGTTCAGATTGCCTCAAATAGGATGTCCATGTCCTCCCCAATTCTCCCCATTGAGCTTACTGAAAACTCACTGTATTAAATCTAAATTCAAGCTAAAACCTTTCCCTTTTATTATTAATACAAGTAGTTTGTAGATGGTTTTTAAGACTGAGCCCTGTGAGACACTACTTGGGCTGAGAGCTGACAACGACTGGTTTAGGTAAATCATATGTAAAGGATATCGTTCCAGAGCCAGTAGAACCAGGTGCAGTACATCCAGAACTTCGTGGCCAGATAGATCCCCAAGGGAAGAGCGCTGTGCATGGAGTGGTCAAAGAAGGCCCTGCAGAGACGTTTACATAGATTAGATTTTTGTTTTTCGAGCCAGCATTCATTACAACATAACACAGATATATATAGGCTTGAAAAGGGGTTGGTGGAGCAACGCTGATATTATCCCCATCCTCTCCCAGCCATTCTACACACACCCTGCTCTCAGAACAAATGTTACTCATTTCTTTAAAATGAATCAGGTTTGAACATGTTTTGAAATAATCTGTTAGGTTATTCCAAAGAGTAATCCTTATCATGAAATAAGTTTTGTACATTATGTGAAGGGAGTTTCCAGATGACATGTTTCAGTCATTTTGATATTTTGCATTTTTCATTTGCCGTAATTATATCTATAAGACTTGCGTCTTATAGGGAGCAAGAGCATTGAAGACTAGGTCTTTCAGCATGAAGGTTTCATGTAAGGCAGCACACCCAAATCACTTTTATCTAGCGTGCTGGATTAAAAAAAGTAAACAATATGTAAAACAATAAAAATCTTCACCGCTATGTTGCTCTCAAGCATCTTTTAGTTACAGACACTTGGGAGCAACATAGCTGTGCAGTTCTCTTTCATAGTATTCATTTCGATGTCTCACTATGGGAAACGCCCCCTCGGGTGTTCACAGAAGCCCTATACCATTACGCCAGCCCTGAGTGGCTGGAAGTGGTGACGTCGCGACATTGGCACAGACTATAAATGTCACTCGTACGACGTCACCCGCCATTCAATCACCTCTTCTTGCTTCACTAAACCAAGTTACCAGCTGATGGCTGATTCAACTGTTCACAGGCGAGAGCTAATCCCTCTGCTGCCAAACGCTAGCTGTCACTACACCGGACGGTTAGTGCCTGACTAGCTATCGAGTTTTTATCTGTTAGCTACACCAAGCTAACTCTAGCTACGCCAAGCTAACTCTCGGATTTGCCTGCTACCCCCGTCTTTCAAGTTTCAAAGGCTCACACACTCTGCCTTGATCCGTTTAGTGCGCCAAGACGATTGGTTCACATCAATAGATCTGAAGGACGCATATTTTCACGTTCCCATTTATCCGCCTCACAGGAAATACCTACGGTTTCTGTTTCAAGGCGTAGCTTACGAATACACGATGCTCCCTTTTGGCCTTTCTATAAGTTCGAGAGTGTTTGTGAAAGCAACCGAGGCCGCGTTTAACCCCCCTCAGAGAGCGGGGGATACGTCTGGCCATCTATCTGGACGATTGGCTCCTCCTGGCGCGCACGTGTGAGGAGGCTGTCACTCAAACAAATGTGGTTCTCAAACATCTGCATGGTCTGGGATTTGTTGTCAACATGATCACTTTGCACATAAGGTTATCCTACTAATACTCATTTCGCACACACGCACCAGAGCATATTCCAGACCATTTACACTGATTCCATATTATTGTTTGAATAAAACGGCCAGTGAGCCTGAAAAGTCTATGCCGTGTCCTCCCTCATTTTTGTTGCTTCACCGTGAGCCAAGGGGAACGTAAGTTTACGCAATCACTGTGTACCTCTGGGAGTGGACGCGTTCTCACAAGTGGCCTCAGGCGCCGCTATATGCTTTCCGCCTCCAGCGCTGATTCCTCCCACTTTCCTCAGCGTGAGAGAACACCCTGAGGCTGATATTGATAGCCCCGCACTGGCCGTCCATGCCTTGGCTGGTGGACGTCAATCAGTTACTATGCGGACACCCCTGGACGCTCCCGTTACGCAGGGATCTTCTGACCCAGGCGAACGGACAGTTGTTTCAGAGGCTTGCACTACGGGCCTGGCCCCTGAGTGGTTAAGTCTATCTGCGGCTGGTCTCCCTCAGAATGTTATCAATACTATTCAGAGCGCCAGGGCCGCCTCCACAAGGTCTCTGTATGATCGTAAATGGAAGGTTTTTGAGGATTGGTGCGTTTTACAGGAGGTGCTTTCTTTCAATTGTCCCTTGAATGTCATGTCATTCCTCAGGACCTTATTGAAAAGAAAAAGGCTTTCCCCACAATCAAAGTTTATTTGACTGCTCTTTCGGCATGTCGTGTTGGCTTTGATGGCTAAACTGTGGGTCAGCATCCGCTGATCTGTCGTTTTATGAAGGGGGCGAGGAGATTACTGTAATCTTTCATCTTTATTTATATACCGCCTTTCGCAGACCAGAGTCACAAACCTGTTTACAATTGTTATTTTGGGCATTAGTCTCTCACTCCACACAGAGAGAAGAGCAGGGTCGCCAGTACAGGAGGCGCATGCCAGACCTATTGTACATATTTTTTGTGGTAGGGGAAACCGGAGCACCCGGAGTAAACCGGAGCAGACACGGGGAGAACATGTAAACTCCACTCAGAAAGGCCCTGTTCCAACCGGGATTCAAACCCAGGACCTTCTTGCTGAGAAGCGAGAGTGCTATCCACTCAGCCACCGTAATGCCTGTGTCCAGAACCATGTCCCCTTTGTGGGATCTGGCTGTGGTTCTACAGGCTCTTTCTGTCCATCCTTTTGAACCTTTGGAGGACATTAACTTGGTATGTGTTCCCCATCAATGGCCCTGATAAACAACTCTTCTAGAACAAAGCTGTATGGGGGAATTGCCCAAAATACCAGCAACAACAAAAACTTTGTGAAGACTTAAAGAGCACAATAGACTGTAGATTGTAGCATAATTGTGGCAAAAACAAAATGTAATGCAGCACACTTAAATATCTTTATTAAATCACATGCACACTGCAGGGTTATTGAGGCCACGTCTTCTACATGTACTGTGGATCCTAGGCTGTAGATTACAACTCATTTGACTTTTATTTTTTGATAGTTGACCTTCTTCATTATGGCAGGCTTAGCATATTTGATTTGTTTCTGAGGGTACAGTTGTCTTGTTCTCCTTTTCAAGAACAAAAACAACCCATTATGTATTATTATAATTAATATTAAAATGTTTTTAAAACCATAACTTGCAGCATGGATCAAAATGTTAGTACACAAACTTGATTTCGTCCAAGGTTTAAGGGTATTTGAGCGCAAGTAGGCCAAATGGATCAATTCAGGTGCTGAATTAAATTATAGTCTCTGCAATTTGATTTGATTAAATATTAAAACACTATTCTAGTTTATAATTAAATCATTTATTTCATTTTTTCATTCAACATTTTATTTTCAATAAGCTAAGCGTGCTTCCTTCAAATACACACACACGGACCAATCACAGCGGAGCTTCTCTCACACACGGACCAATCACAGCGGAGATTCCTTGTGGCGACCCTTACGTAGTTAGAAAATGTCGATGCTGCGCGGCAGGCGACGTAAGGGCCTTGCGGTGACCAACGCGTTGCACAAGTGACGTCACGTCACCTCCGTAAGCTCCGCGCTGAGAGAGTATACACTAGGCTTAACGCAACAGACAGTTAAAAGAGGAACGTACCACACTTTAATCATATCGCACTCTTATTTAAAGCTTGGGAACCAAATGCATTTTTTCCATGAAAATTTAATTTAAATATTTTCATAGTAGTATAGTTTAAGTTTATAGTTGTTTGTGCACATTGAAAAGAAAGCCATGTTTTCATATGCTAAAACCAGCACAGCTGTAGAGGGCCGTACTTTGAGAGAAATTGCACGGTGATCCAGACCCCGGCATACATCAGTCCTTTGATTAACCACGAGTCAATGTCCAGGTCTGCGATGAACCCCACCAACCAGATGACCACAAATGGAGTACCCAGCATCACCTTCTGTCGGATGTCCTGTAGGAGAACAAAATAAACCCAAATAAGGACATAGACAATACAATATGAGGCACAAAAAACTTGGAAATGAGTCGTTGATTAAGCTGTGCTTCATGACTCATAATGGCTCAGGGGTACTCAAAACGTTGATTGCAATTTACCAGTCGATTGCGATCACAGGGTTTGGATGCTTGGGTGACAGGAGTTCAAACATGACATGTATGCATCCACATGCGTTTCATTGTGGCAGCATCAAAAGCCTGAAGTGCATCACTCCAGCGCTGCCACTCGCACAGAGGAAACGGCACACCCTACGCACGTTCCCATTGGGTCTGTGCGCTCAATCCTCTGTGCCCTTTGCGCACAGACCACAGACCAAAAGAGAAGGCGGTAAAGTCCCGAATGCAAACGTGACTGCTGCTCTGTGGGCAATGATATAGCGTTTTCAGAAGAACAGAAAGCCCTCACGATGTGTGGATGGTCAAAGTAATAATGATAATGCATTGGTTTTATATAGCGCTTTTCAGGACACTATAAGACGCTTCACAAGTCATTTGTTCACTCCATACACGGTGGTGATAAACTGCAACTGTAGCCACAGTTGCCCTGGGGCACACAGACAGAAGCAAGGAAAACAGTAAGTGCCATCGGCCCCTCAGACCACCACCAACCATTCACACGGACACCCATTCTAGCCAAGGTGGGTGAAGTATCTTGCCTAAGGACACAAAGTCAGTGTGGCACTTTACTGTGGCACCTGGTGTTCCCAGAGGTCTCCGATCACAGTACTAACCAGGCCCTGCCCTGCACAGCTTCAGAGGTCTGACGGGATCTGGCTTTCGCAAGCAAGTATAGCCAAAGTAGACTTCAAGTACTAATAACATTCGACAAAGAACTCTCCTTCAAGGCTTATATAAGCCAAGCAACTAAAATGGCTTATTTCCACTTGCACTACATTTCATGTGTTTTAACTGTTGATTCTCTGATCTGTGTTGGTGATTTCAATGGTTTTGTTAAGTCCTCAGATGACTGCTGTTGTGATTTAGGGCTATACAAGAATTGTAATTGTATTGTATTGTAAATACAGACGGACTTCATGGGCCACGGAAATTAGAAGTCCGTTAAAAGTTATATTTCATTATTTAATTATTAAAACATTTTATGAGAAATACAAAGTATGTTCAATACAAATGTATAAGTTCACTATTTTAAAAAGTTAATTTATTTATAGTAGTAATATATAGTTATTGGTTGGCTGAGACGTGTGAAATGCGCCTGCACAGCAAGGTCTTGTGGTTCTTTTGGATTAAGCAGCCGAATAAAGACGCAGCCTATTTCTCCTTTGTTTCTAAACAAAGCACCATGTAGCTTTCCCAAACTGACACCACGTTTCTCTCCCAAACTCCTGGTATAGAATGCAACACGTGTACATGTTAATTGTGGATTATTAGGGCAGTGATTAATTTGAGCCAGAACACCCCGGAACCTCTACACTTCCGGTGCAAAGCGTGTGCAAGATCAAAATGCACAAATTATCTCGGAAAGAGATAAACTAGAGAATAAACTAGAGAATTTACCCTAGCCTTGGTTAAAACAAGTTAAATAAAAAACTCAAGTAGTTTAAATAGGCCTACTTTTGCTTGGCCTTGTTGATTACGGTTTGTAAAAAATAAATAAAATGGCCTATTCATTCGATCTAATGAGTTTAATAAAAAACATTTCACATTCGGGCTACATATTCACTCACAAAATTAACACTCAAATGTGGATTTGTTCTATTTTCTAGGGCTGTCAAAATGATCGAGTCAACGCATGTTAATTAAATGTTTTCATTAATCTCGTTGAAAAAATGAACGCATTGACGCATGTGCCGAATGACCCGGCCATGCATCCCATAATAGCACTCAGAAGGGCTGCTCACAGGCCTCTCACTTTGAGAAACCCTCCTACTGTCTTACTCTCCTCTATGCTCTCCTCCCACAAGCCATGTCGTTTTAGTAGTGATCTGACGTGCTAATGCTAACTAATGTCTAACTTCTTATAAGCTGTACAGCAATCACTGATGAGATGGTACAAAAGCAACGCACTGCCAACAAAATATATAACTTAAAGATTGCCGCTAGTTTCGCGTCCAATTGTAGTCCGAGGCGGTCGCGCTCCCGCAGGTCTCTGCAGAGGTCGCTCCACATTCAATGTGGAGCGAAATCAAGCCTGTTCACCCAGGCTTGATTTCTTTGTTAATTTTCTCGCTTTAGTTCCCTTTTCTCCTCCTCACATTTGCGTCTTTTGGGCTGTTTTGCTGTGTCTGCAGTTACAGTCAGAGGAGGTATAGCCACTTTCTCCAGTCATACTGTTCTGTATACATGCGCTGCAGACGCTACAGGACGCAGCCTGTCCATAACAGCGCTGCTCCTCGTTGGAGGAGAACCAGCGTCACGCAAAGTTTCTACTCAGAATTCAGCCTGAATTCATACACAAGCTGAATCGATTAGCTACATTTTTCAATTTATTTACGGGTTTTAATACAACTTGTATGTAATAATACGCATTTATACAAACTCATTAGAAATTAAATCAGGTATAGTTCCTTGGGTGCAACGGTTTGAAAAAATCACGGTTCGGTTCGTACCTCGGTTCAGAGGCCACGGTTCGGTTCATTTTTCGGTTCATTTTTCCAAAAAAAAGTGTTGTCTTTTTAATAAACACGGCTCATGTGGACTCGGCAGCTGCTCTGACGGCCCCCCTCCCCGACCTAGAAATGAATTAAGGGGAAGAAAATGGATGGATGGAAGGCATATTCCATCCATCCATCCAATTATGTCTATTTAACATAATTAATAAAAAACAACACAAAGTGCAACATAAGAAGGCACTTTATGAGGGTATTTACGCTCATGGATCTATTATAGGTTCCGCGGGACGTCCAAGCGTCAGTCATGAGCGCAGCTGAGAGTTGACTTTAGCCCGGTCTGACTGTGCGTAAAGGAGCTGCTTAAATGCCGCAGCAATAAGCGGTCGTTGAGACGCTTTTTTCACTCATGTCTTTCTTGTGCCACAGTGTTTACACATTGTGACAGTTTTGTCGAATATTAATTATCAGTGTAGTTACAGTGAAGCCAAAATGCTCTCATACTGGGGATTTAAATGACGCGGGGCTTTCAAGCTCCTCCGTTCCTCTGCTCGCCGTGACCACGCTGTGTGTGGACTGAACAACGTGCGCACAACTTTGTTTTCATAAATCAAACCGCGGATCACGTCTGTACCGAACCGAAGACGTTGAACCGAACGGATCATCGATGAACCGTTGCACCTCTAGTTCTTTGCAGAGTGGGTTTCTATGGATCCACCAGTGCACGTGGCACCAGGACACCCTAGGCCGGAGGTCGATGATCACCTTTGTTGTCGTATCATCTGACCTTCGACCGCGTGTCTCGGAGGGGCGGAGCTGTCAACCGATCACCACCTGGTCGTGAGTTGGATCCGCTGGCAGGGGAGGGAGCCGGTCAGACCTGGCAGACCCAAGCGTGTAGTGAGGGTCTGCTGGGAACGTCTCGCTGAGCCCCCTGTCAGACGGACTTTCAACTCACACCTCCGGGAGAGCTTCTTCCAGGTCCCGGCGGAGGAGGGGGACATTGAGTCCGGGTGGACCATGTTCTCTTCCTCTATCGCCAATGCGGCGGCCCGTAGCTGTGGTCGCAAGGGTGCTGGTCCCGGCGGCAACCCCCGAACCTGGTGGTGGACACCGTCAGGCTGAAGGAGTCCTATCAAGCCATGATGGTTCGTGGGACTCCTAAGGCAGCTGTCCAGTACCGGCAGGCCAAGCGTGCCGCGGCCCGGGCTGTTGCAGAGGCAAAAACCCGGGCCTGGGAGGAGTTCGGAGAGTCCATGGAGCATGACTATCGGTCGGCCTCGAAGAGATTCTGGCAAACTGTCCGGCGCCTCAGGAGGGGGAAGCAGTGCTTTGCCAACACCGTGTACGGTGCGGGTGGAGAGCTGCTGACCTCGACTGGGGATATTGTCAGGCGGTGGATAGAATACTTTGAGGTTCTCCTCAATCCCACCGTCACGTCCTCCGTCCCGGAGGCAGAGGCTGAGGATGTTGGGGCGGATACTTCTATCTCCCTGGCCGAGGTCTTTTTTGAATTTTGCATGTCATCTAAAGCCACGAATTTGGCCGACACTGACCGCGTTAAGTATATTGATACACTGAAGTAATCTGTGAGGCAAGATCCTTGGAGAAATTGAGTGATCGTAGATTTGGATCCATATGAAATGCAGCGAGACCAGTGGATTTCGCCAGAAATGGCTTACTTTCACTTAAAAGTTTTACAATTAAAAAAAGATCATGATGTATATGATGCAATATTTCTTTCAATCAATAATTTATTTTGAAAGACGCAGTTGATATCACAGGCCGTAAATCACTTCTGTCTACCACCCTTTACAAGCCTCCTCCTCCCCCTCATTCATTTAGAGGAGATCGCTTGAGGCCCATATATACAGTACATCACAGTCAAATCGCAGCTCTGAATATAAACCACACATGCACAGATTTAGCTTGCTCTTACCCTGTTATGAAATGGTCAGAACAGACCTTATAGTGCTTTTCAGCACTTTTCAGGGGGTTAGGGTTGAATCCTTCCGTCGAGAGTTGCTCCCCTGGCTCGTTATAACCTTCGGAATGTCCCCACAATCTGCACGGTTACTGCACCCCTAAACGACGCAGGTAGTCGGCATGTTTTAGCACAAACCAAAGTGATTTGAGCGCTTTCTTTACCTACAACTATCGGCGGCTAGACAGCCAATATGGCGAACTGCGGAATTGTGGGTAGTGCGTGACGTCAATGGAAAACCATCTATTCTGCCAGGCAATAAATGTAGCACAAATGATTGGGAGGAGGGTTAGCGAGGAGGTTGGTGTCTCGTGCAAGTTATTTAAATGTTTCACAATAGTTAACATTTCCCCGCGCTAAAAATGTGTCATGTTCGAGCAACTACTAGTACTTTCCCGCTCACGAGTTGATGTGTTTATTCAGGGGAAGTATGCAAAAAGCAGTGGCAGAGTCTGAGGGACACATATGTAAAGGTGAGCAGGAAGGAGAGGGAGACGTTGAATTTGCTTTCCTCTCTTCCCACTTCCCAGAACGCTCTGTGACAGCGTCTGTCGTCAGTAAGCACAAGCGTCCAACTAGGCGTTTTGGCTGCATTTTTGACGCCCGAAAAGCGTGCGGTCTGAACAGGGCATTATGCTCCATTGTAGAAAAGGTTCTCGAGGGCCGAACCTGGACCTTAGCTACAATAGCAACACTTTGCTATTGTCCAGAGATCCTTCAGACGCGCAGGAGTACCATAATCATGCCACAATGAGCTCCAGTAATTCCTTCTTGTGTGCCAGGCTGCGACTCTGGAGGATCTCTGGACCCACAGTGTTGCTATTGTAGCTTGTCTACACACTCGCACCTCCCCGGTCTACACACTCGCACCTCGCCGATTTGCACTCTCCCATCACAATCAATTGGATTTCTGATCTGTTGTTGAGGAATGGACACCTTTGTCAAGTCCTCAGATACAACTGCAGTAATGATTTAGGGCTACACAAAATATATTTAATCAAAAGGTAATTGAATCTAGTCTGTCAACACACTCAAGATATTATTGGTCTCAATTCTCAGACATGGTTGGTCTTTACTCTCATACCTTATTCGTCTTGAGGCGTTTCATGTAGGACGGGCTGTCATAGCCTTTGGCCTGGCGCGCCTCCTGTAAGTGGTTCACCATCCACACATTCTTCCTCTGCTTGGCCAGGTCCAGCGGCATCTCACCCTGTCATAAGCAAATACAACCAAACCATTTAATTTGATAGTTCAATCTGAGCGGCCACTCCAAAAAACACATACTTGTCCTTGGGGATTTCCCATGTTACGTATCGTTTTAAAGATGCACTTTAGATGCACATAATAAAAATAAAAATTAATGCCATTTTTGTCCTGATCTCGAACTATAATACAATGAAGGAGTTGAATTGTGTGTGACAGTAAAAAATAGATGGGTCAGCATGGGTCCTAATCCTGGTTCAGGACAAAAAGTATTTTCATTTTTTAGTAATACCTGTTAACATTTGCCCACTAGCTACTTAAAGACCTACCACCAGACGAGAACCAATTCGTTTTAATATACAGTGCCTTGCGAAAGTATTCGGCCCCCTTGAACCTTTCAACAAGTGGGACACAATCGTGAAGTGGAACGAAATTTATTGGATAATTTAAACTTTTTTAACAAATGAAAAACTGAAAAGTGGGGTGTGCAATATTATTCGGCCCCCTTGCGCTAATACTTTGTAGCGCCACCTTTTGCTGCAATTACAGCTGCAAGTCGCTTGGGGTATGTCTATCAGTTTTGCACGAGAGACTGGAATTCTTTCCCATTCTTCCTTGCAAAACAGCTTGAGCTCAGTGAGGTTGGATGGAGAGCGTTTGTGAACAGCAGTCTTCAGCTCTTTCCAGATTCTCGATTGGATTCAGGTCTGGACTTTGACTTGGCCATTCTAACACCTGGATACGTCTATTTGTGAACCATTCCATTGTAGATTTGGCTTTATGTTTTGGATCATTGTCCTGTTGGAAGATAAATCTCCGTCCCAGTCTCAGGTCTTTTGCAGACTCCAACTGGTTTTCTTCCAGAATGGACCTGTATTTGGCTCCATCCATCTTCATCAATTTTAGCCATCTTCCCTGTCCCTGCTGAAGAAAAGCAGGCCCAAAGCATGATGCTGCCACCACCATGTTTGACAGTGGGGATGGTATGTTCAGGGTGATGAGTGTTGCTTTTATGCCAAACATATCGTTGGCCAAAAAGTTCGATTTTGGTTTCATCTGACCAGAGCACCTTCTTCCACATGTTTGGTGTGTCTCCCAGGTGGCTTGTGGCAAACTTTAAACCAGACTTTTTATGGATATCTTTGAGAAATGGCTTTCTTCTTGCCACTCTTCCATAAAGGCCAGATTTGTGCAGTGCACGACTGATTGTTGTCCTATGGACAGACTCTCCCACCTCAGCTGTAGTTATCTGCAGTTCATCCAGAGTGATCATGGGCCTCTTGACTGCATCTCTGATCAGTCTTCTCCTTGTTTGAGATGAAAGTTTGGAGGGACGGCCGGGTCTTGGTAGATTTGCAGTGGTCTGATACTCCTTCCATTTCAATATAATTGCTTGCACATTGCTCCTTGAGATGTTTAAAGCTTGGGAAATCTTTTTGTATCCAAATTCGGCTTTAAACTTCTCCACAACAGTATCTCGGACCTGCCTGGAGTGTTCCTTTGTCTTCATGGTTCTCTCTGTGCTTTAAACAGAACCCTGAGACTATCAAAGAGCAGGTGCATTTATACGGAGACTTGATTCCACACAGGTGCATTCTATTTATCATCATCAGTCATTTAGGACAACATTGGATCATTCAAAGATCCTCACTGAACTTCTGGACTGAGTTTGCTGCACTGAAAGTAAAGGGGCCGAATAATATTGCACGCCCCACTTTTCAGTTTATTATTTGTTTAAAAAGTTTAAATTATCCAATAAATTTTGTTCCACTTCACGATTGTGTCCCACTTGTTGATTCATGACAAAAAATTTAAATTTTATATCTTGAAATTTTATGAAGCCTGAAATGGAGCGAAATGTTGAAAGGTTCAAGGGGGCCGAATACTTTCGCAAGGCACTGTATGTAAATGATCAAATCAGAATGCAATTTTCCACTTCTACTTCTAAATGAGTACTTTGCCCAACTTATTAGGTACCGTATTTTTCGCACCATTAGGCACGGGCAAAAGAGCTATATAGTTATGTGCCAAAATGTATAAGTCCAAGCCGGCATGGAAGCCGGATGCGACACCGTGAATGGATGAAGCGCAAATACGAGATCCATTCATCTGATTGCGCCATACAACTCAATACCAAAGTTTTGGGTCTTACAGTCTGTTTGTGCTCAGGCACTTGGTTGTATCCGCATCCAAACCACTTTTGTTCAAATTTGTAAAAAAAAAGCAAAAAAGGAAGTGCAAGTGTGTTCACTTAAATAGTCCAGGTGAAATAACAAATGTTACGGGGCTTGTGTGCACTGATGGTTCTCAGCTAACGATACTAACACCTCTCGGATCTCTCGCTAAAGCTACAAACACATTTTTTGGCGCCTCATGGAGTATTACTGTTAATAGTAATTTGGCTAATGTTAATATCAGTCCAATGGCCAAATTTTCTCTATGACGAGACATGTTTACGAAAAATGATTTTAAGATAAGCCATCGGTGACGCAGTTGAGCTTGATAAAAGCTATGATGCAGAGCAGAGCAGCTGCAGAGCAGAGCAGCTGCAATTATTTTGTATTTCATAATTATTTCATTTTCATAACCAAGTTGCGTTTGTTTAAATGTTACGACTGAACATGTTTCAGTCGTAACATTTAAACAAGTTATTTAAGTTATAGAGTTTATACTGGTAAATACATTGAGTCATGTTTTACCTTATAATCCGGTGCGCCTTATGTATGAAAATAAATGTAACATTTGATAGTGTGTCTGATAATCAGGTGCGCCTAATGGTGCAAAAAATACTGTATATTAGTATATTTAGTTGGCTGTACCTTGATGTTCTGTGCATCTACGTTGGCATTGGCGTCCAGCAGCAGACTAATGACCGTGGTGTTACCGGCTAAGACGGCCCAGTGCAAAGCAGTGTTCTTGTGGTACTTGTCGCCCAGGTTCACTGACACGTTAAAGGTGAGAAGCAGGCGCGTTGGATCCACACTGAGAGACCCACAAGGAACGCTTAGTTTACATACACAATAACCTTTGCAATGATATAATTAACAAATCAGATTTGTTTTTGTACAGCCACAAACAGCAGAAGTACATTATATTTATACAGTGGTATGCAAAAGTGCTCCCTCCCCATTTTTTGGTTTTCCCTTTATAAATCATTGGTTGTTTGGATTTCAGTTGAATTTATCATATATGGGGAAAACAGTGATATTTAAGAAGTGAAATACTATATAACTTACAGAAAGTAATCAATAATTATTTAAACCAAATTTAGGTACTCTTTAAAATGGTATTGATTACAACACTCCAAGCACTGATTAATGGAACAAAAATTGGTTTGTAACCTCAGTAATCATGAGAAATGGTATTTAGGCAGGCAATTGCGTGTTTCCCCTCTTTGCATCAAAAACAACTCTCAAATGACCTGAAAACAAAGACTATTCAACATCATGGTTTAGAGGTAAGATACAAAACATACTTTCAGCTTAAACTGTGAGGAATTTGAAGACCACTGGCACAGTTCAAGTCAGGTCTAGTCAAGAACAATGTTCTGGAATGGCCCTCTCAGTCCTCAAACCTGAATATTATTGAACACTTGTGGTGTGATTTAAAATGGACTGTCCATGCTCAGAACCCACCAACGCCATTTGGGGTGGGCGATAATATCTCGTAAGTAACTTTGACAAGCTTTTTAACAATATCGACATAATAGACCTTTTACACAATTCCGTGTTTTAAACCGGAAGTTGGGAAAAGGCACTTCCGGTGCCTATGCTTTTCCATTGACAAACAGCGTCAGTATGGTTCAAACTCTCAATATCACCACGGTTGTTTTTGCTCTGTTCCTGGTTGCTCTTGTGGGAAAGAAAACAGCCATATCTGTCTTTCCATGCTTTCCCGACGGACCTGGGCCAAAAGAGGCAGTGGATCCAAGCAGTTAGAAGAGAGCACTTCTGTATGCAGCCTTACACAGGAGGATTTTATTACCAGCAGCCGCCTTAAAAGTAGAGCTGTTCCATCTCTTTTCCCGTGGAATAATGTTATTTCTCTATCTAAGACGGAATCTGCCTCCAGAGGGTTCCGAAACCACAGCTTGTTGTGTTTTGGCAAATTATCAAGGCCCATTTTGTTTTGAAGACTAAATTCCTCATGTATGTAAATCTTGTGTAAATTTGAGATGTTTATTCCCAAATTAAAACATACTTGGGCAGAATCCTGTAGTTATATATGTATATATATATATTTATGAATATATATTTATATATTCATAAATATCATTTATATGATGAAACATATATAGTAATGAAACAAGACTTGCATTTATTTGACAACCGCTGCTGCTACTTGTGTTGCTATTTTTGAGGACCCTCCTGAAAACGAGATGATGCATCTCAAGAGGCTATTCCTCGTAATATAGAAATGTAAACACACACAAAATGACACTTTTACAAAATCATTTAAAATAAGCACATTTATGTAGTTTTGCAGAACTTACAGCTCATTGGCTTCCTTTGAACAGCAGGCACAGGTCCATTAAGACCAGGACAAATGGATTTAAGAAAAGATTTTTATCCAAGTGCAGTTGCCACAATATACTGCCATATGTAACAGACAATAATTAACAAGCCATAGCGTAACAGACCATAATATACACGTGCAATGCATTGATTGTTTTTGTAACAGATATTTACAATAATACACAAGGGATGAAAGTAGAAAAAGCAAAGGAACAAAAAGGGGTGTTGTAGATCATTTAATATTTATTTTATTGCATTGACATAACACATCCATCTTTACAGATAACTGGTACAGGCTAGGGCAGGAGGAACAGCTGGAGATCTTTGCAGATCACTGGTACAGGCTAGGGCAGGAGGAACAGCTGGAGATCTTTGCAGATCACTGGTACAGGCTAGGGCAGGAGGAACAGCTGGAGATCTTTGCAGATCACTGGTACAGGCTAGGGCAGGAGGAACAGCTGGAGATCTTTGCAGATCACTGGTACAGGCTAGGGCAGGAGGAACAGCTGGAGATCTTTGCAGATCACTGGTACAGGCTAGGGCAGGAGGAACAGCTGGAGATCTTTGCAGATCACTGGTACAGGCTAGGCCAGGAGGAACAGCTGGAGATCTTTGCAGATCACTGGTACAGGCTAGGCCAGGAGGAACAGCTGGAGATCTTTGCAGATCACTGGTACAGGCTAGGCCAGGAGGAACAGCTGGAGATCTTTGCAGATCACTGGTACAGGCTAGGGCAGGAGGAACAGCTGGAGATCTTTGCAGATCACTGGTACAGGCTAGGGCAGGAGGAACAGCTGGAGATCTTTGCAGATCAGGGCTGGGAGTAGTGTGCAGTCTGAAACCTTTAGCTGCAGCCCAACTACAGGAAGAAGCCATAACTCTTTTCAACACCCACTGAGATCTAAAACAGATCAACAAGTATTTTAGAACAGACATATAGTTATTGCTTGTTATAACTTAACTATCTTACAAAGTCAGCAGAAGAGAAATAGTAACCACCAAACAAAAAGATGCTAGTATAAGCTGTTTTACTGGAGTTGTCCATGTGAACGCTCTACATATGTCAGCAACACAACAACTCAAGCAGAACATTTAGCAAGTTTGCTTTCACAAATAGACAAACACATCATCATGTTCTAATATAATATGAAAGTCTATAACATGTCTCCATTACATATTTCGAATAATTTAGCACATAATTTAGGCCTTTATTACATGTGTTTGGGCTTCATGCATCGTAGCTAACGCTAACTTAGCTGTTAGTTGCTAAGTTATGTCTTACCTTGATACTTGTGTATATATTCTTCATCGCAGAACCCCTTCTCTCGTTTATCTGTCCACAAATCCACCCCTGCGATTGCTTCAGCAGCCGTGAATGAAAAAGCTGGGAAACTGACTAATGTTGCCAAAAATATTAGAACCATTTCTCCATAGTACCACTGCAAACAGGAAGTGCTATCTCCCTACGAGGTGGGACTTCTGGTTCTCGTGAAAAAGGTCTAAGGCTCTATTTCACTTTCGGCGCTTTGCCATCTCTGCTGCGCTTGCCCCTGTCTCCTTTTGCTCCTCCTTGACCTTCCCCTAGCGTATATCTCATTCAACATAGCAGCGGTGCTGCATAGCTAGCAGCATAGACTGTAAACATGCACCAAGGAAACACATTTGTCCAAAAAGTGCGGAGTGTAGAATATGACAGAAGGTTGTGTGGCGTCAGAGTCCAAGGCAGTTCATACAGTGGTGGACATGACACGTTTTGTTGTCATTGAACAACTTGGCTTTATACAAGAGACTCTAAACTTTATAATCTCTTTGTAATCTGTTGTGAAACACCTCATTATGATATCAGAATCAAGGCATTACTTTGCAATACAAGAACTCCTGCGTCTGTACACTATGGAGAGAGCGGCTGAATTGGAACAAGTGACTTACTATTAATGTAATCAGGATTCTTTTTTATTTTAAATGTTGCAGAATCATGTTGTTCCAATATGCACATCGAGTTGAGTCGTTTTATTTTTAAATAAAGAAAAGGCAATATGTATAATTTCTTCAAAAACGCAGCATGGTGGCTGAGTGAGAGGAACGGTGGCTGAGTGGATAGCACTCTCGCTTCTTTGCAAGAAGGATCTGGGTTTGAATCCCAGTCTGAGTGGAGTCTGCATGTTCTCTGCGCAGGTTTCCTCCGGGTGCACTGTTTTCCCCTACCACAAACATGTACAATGAATGTAATGAGTGGCGCGTCTGTAAACGTCTTGAAAATGTTGTCAAGTGGAGTAAAGACAACCTCCTTTTGAACACATCCAAAAAATGTGAACTGGTGTTTGACTTCAGGTCGTTGTTACTCTCACTCCCACTCAACTGTGGTTATGGGAACTCCCAGGTGGAGATTGATGAACAGTTTGTTCCTTGGACTTTTTCAAAGATTTGAGATGGGACAAAAACACCAACCAGTATGGGTTCTTAACATTATGTTAAGAAAGCTCGCCAGCGTCTCAACTTTCTGCGGAAAGTATAGACAAATGACTAAGATTTTGCTTAACTTTTACTGCTGCACCATAGAATGCCTGCTGGCTGGTGCGATTACTGTGTGGTTCGGCAGCATCACAGCCAAAGAAGAGTGCTCTGAAGAAAGTGGTTCGCTCAGAGGACTGAACTGTGACATGCCCGTTCTGGGGGCTCTTCATGAGAGCAGACTCTTAAAGAAGCTATACCCAATTTTTTTTTCTAATGAGTTCATAAAAATGCTTATTACTACATACAAGTTGTATTATAATCTGAAATTTTATTGGAACTTGAGCTCATTGATTCAGCTGTGTATGGATTCAGGCCGTCAAAAGTGCAGAATAGAGACTTAGCGTGCCTATCTTTCTCCTCCACTCACAGAACGAGCAGCGAACAGCCTGCGTCCTCTAGCTTCTACAGCGCTGATAAACACTAGGGCTTTGACTTCTAAATTATAATTCAATATTTTAATATATTCTTAATACATTCGGACGCAAATCTAGTGGTATTTTTACTTATATATTTTGTTGACAGTGCGTTGCTTTTGCGGGCGACAGTAGCTCAGTTGTCAGGCCTGAAGGTCGGGGGTTCAATTCCCACCTCTACACCTTCTCCACCGACTCCCACTGATGACTGATGCCGTTGTGTCCTTGGGCAAGACACTTAACCCCACTTTGCCCAAAGCCCCCACTGAAAGATCAAGGCTATGCTCACACTCAGAGAGCAGCCGTCCTCCTGTGGACTCACCACCTGCAGAGGGTCAGTGAGGGGCTGGTGCTATGAGACTTGGGTGGCATCTCTGACTGCCACCCCCCTGACCCAGAAATGGATTAAAGGGTAGAACATGGATGGATGCGTTGCTTTTGAATCATTTCATCATTTATTGTTGCACAGCTTAAGTTGCGCTAATGCTAATGTTAGCGTCAGATTGCAAATACAACTCGATGGCTCCGTGGGATGAGAGCGTAGAGGAAATGCGAAGCCTCTGAGCGAGTTCGGGGGCGGTGCTAGACATTCAAACCTCGCAGAAACAGGTATAGCTCCTTTAAAGTGAACTAAATGACTCCTCTGGCCATCCTGGAGCGGCCTTGTTCCAGCCTCTTCTCTCAGGGAGAAGATTCCGGTCCCTGCGGTGCCACACCACCCACCATGCGAATAGCTTCTTGCCTCAGGCTGTACCTGCTTCTATTTGTAGCTCAGACCTGACAGACCCAGCTGGGAACGTCTCGTTGAGCCTCCTGTCAGACGGACTTTCAACTCACACCTCCAGGAGAGCTTCTCCTTGGTCCCGACGGAGGAGGGGGACATTGAGTCCGAGTGGACCATGTTCTCCTCCTCTATTGCCGATGCGGCAGCTCGTAGCTGTGGTTGCAGGGACTCTGATGCTGGTCCCGGCGGCAACCCCCAAGGGATGCCATCAGGGCACGTCCCTCCGGGAGGAGGCCCCGGGTAAGACCCAGGACACGCTGGAGGGACTATGTCTCTAAGCTGGAATGGGAACGCTTTGGGGTCCCTTCGGACGAGCTGGAGGAAGTGTGTGTGGATCGGGAAGTCTGGGCGTTTACTTATGGTGCTTTCAGACCGCCATATGTAACAGACTGACTTTATAGAACCGCCATATCCCCACGGACTTTATAGAACAGTAGTATGTGTTCACAGAGGTGCGCAATAAGTTTATTTTATTATTAAACGGTACTTCCGCATCAGCGAACACACTTGAAGCAGTTGCATAAAGTACAGTTTCATCTGTAGTCCCAGAAGGACGGGTTTAATTCATTTTTTGTTAATTTCTTTTCCAGAGACATCCGTCTTTCAGAGGCCATCATTTCTTCATCCATCTCCATCACCTCCAGCTTCTGTGGATTACAATACAAACTACAACAAACAAGGTCCAATATTTTCATTTGTTTATTAATTACAAGTCATGGATAGTTAGAACACATATTGCATTGCATTGTTCTGTAGCAGCAGTAACAGCAGCAGTAACAACAACAGCAGCAGCAGGTGCATGAATGTCTGCCTTTGACACAGCTGTCTTTTCTACAGTGTGCACATCACAACCTGGACAAAAATAAAATAATTATGATTTAGTTCTTTGTGTCTCAAGTGTAAGCATCTTTGTGTGTCATGAAAAATTATGTATGCGTCTATGAAGGTTATTTTGTGTTTTTATTATCAACACTTTTTTTGCTTTTGAATTCTATAAACTAAGAAAAAAAGTATTCAGTGTAAATAAATTCAATGTTTTAAAATTCAGTATCAAAATATACAATGTTTTAAAATTCAGTGTCCAAATAAATTCAATGTTTTAAAATTCAGTATCAAAATATTCAATGTTGAAAAATTCAGTGTCCAAAAATTTGTTGCATTTTTTTTTGCTGCTTGAAAGGTCATGCTTTTTTCCGGGTAAATCAAGAACAAAGCAATCGATCAGCCAATCCTCCATAGATGTAGCCAGGGCCAGAACACGACTTTGGCTTTATCCGAATGTCCGCACTATACCGTGAGGGACTATAGTGAGTGAGTGAGTGAGTGGACTCATTCTGATGACGATTCAGACGCTGCACACTATTTTCAGGCCGTGCTGTTGTACGTGAGCGTCCCGCAGTAGCATGGATCACGGAGCGGAGAGAGGAGCGGCCATGACAAGGTAAAGGTAAGGGTTATTGGTTTGCTGTGGACGCCATGTTCAGATGAACAAGACAAGTCGTGTTCTGGCCCTGGCTACATCTATGGAGGATTGGCTGATCGATTGCTTTGTTCTTGATTTACCCGGAAAAAAGCATGACCTTTCAAGCAGCAAAAAAAATGCAACGAATTTTTGGACACTGAATTTTTCAACAATGAATATTTTGACACTGAATTTTAAAACATTGAATATTTTGACACTGAATTTTAAAACATTGAATTTTTGGACACTGAATTTTAAAACATTGAATTTATTTACACTGAATACTTTTTTGTTACAGTTTATAGAATTCAAAAGCAAAAAAAAGTGTTGATAATAAAAACACAAAATAACCTTCATATGCGTCTGTTTTTTCCAACCACAGAATCAGTGAGAAAAATGTTTCATAGTACTTATACTTCTAATTGAATACATTTAAGCCATTAACTCTGACATTATCAGTAACAGTCTGCTTGAGTTCAACCTGAAATCTGGTCCACAAGATCATGTCCAGGCGTCCTCTGTGTCCAACTCCATGTATACAGATGTCTCCCTGTCATCAGTAAATGCAAGTTATCACATAGCTTAATACAAATTACTTTACTACAAAGTGATGCACAAACGAGGGCCATATGCAAATATATTGATTGTAAAAACATGCCTTATTTACATGAAATATCACATTTTAGTACAAGTACAATTGTTATAACAAAGTCTGTTACAAAAAGCTCCTTTTTTGGTTTTAATAATTACTTCCACAATTAAGACTGTAAGCATTAGGGAGCTCTCAAAATAACTCCCCGCGCTGTTGCCCTGTTGCCCTTAGCACTGGAACTACGCGCTGTAGAAAAAGTCTGAAAAAAATCTATTTAATCACCTAAAAGATATGACAGTAAAGGGGGATATTTCCTGCTTTATGAATTATCTTTCTTGTCCTAATTAAAACGTATATTAAACTTACCTGTAACTCATCATGGCCGTTCCTCTCTCCACTCCGTGATCCATGCTACTGAGGGACGCGCACGTACAACAGCCTTACATCACATATAATAATAATAATAATAATGCATTGGTTTTATACAGCGCTTTTTTGGACACTCAAAGTCTCTTCACATGTCATTATTCATTCCCTCCATACACGGTGGTGATAAACTACTACTGTAGCCACAGCTGCCCTGGGGCACACTGAGGCGAGGCAACCAGTCTGTGCAATCGCACCTCCGACCACCACCAACCATTCACACACACACACCAGACTCATTCTAGGCAATGGAGGTAAAGTGTACATATCACTAGAATGATTGACAATTAGGAGGACCAGTTATGTAGAAGAACAAAATCCTCAAGGATACCTTTTAGTACTCATCTAAACACATTTATGTGGCCAAAGCACCACCACAAAGTAGCTGTATCACAATGCAGCAGCTCCTATATACTGACTCGCATAAGTCCCGTGCTTACAATGATATGTGACAATGATACATTCAAACGCGTTTTTTGAATGCCCTGAATACATTAACCTTTGTCCTCTGATCAGATCAGAACTGTGACTTAAGGAAATACAATAGTTTACCTACTGGCTTTCCCAACTGAAATTTGAAAACATTTGTGTAAACATGGGAGACTGGAAACGGCAAGAAAAATCTACTTATAATGGTTTACATTAGGCAAGATCCAAAAATGTGTGTGATCCTGAGAGTTGTGATGTGAATGTGGATCTCAGGATGAATACATTTTTGTACAGCCCTATTCAGTTATCAGCAGTAGTCTGAGGACTTTATAGAATTGTCAATTTGCCAATTGTCAATATGGTCCATAGGGATATGTATAAGTGTATAAAAAGGTTAACATCACTGTCCTGAGACCCCCGCAACTTCTGCACTTGTGTCCAGCACCAACCTGTGTGTTCTGTAGGCCGCCCACATCAGAGGGGTCATCCCGTTCTGGTCCATCATGTCCACATCCTGCAGCAGACCACACTCCATTTAATGACAGAACAGTAGAACCTCATCTCCATCTGCTGGCGGACCAGCAAACCTATGTTTATGGTTTTATGTCTTTTGCGGCTCAAACAAATTGCCCCTGGTGTGATAAAGTAGTCAGAATCTGAAGCAACGCTGTAGTTATGGAGCCATTATTGATTCAATTATATTTGTAGGTGCGTAACCAGATCTGTGTGTGGGTAACCAGATTTGTGCGTGTGTTAAAAAAAAAAAGTCTTTTTTTAAAACACAGATCTTTTGATACAGTCCTGCCTTGAAAGATTCGCAAGTGTAACTTGGACTGTGTGTGTACCCAGATTTGTGTGTGTGTAATTTGACATTAGTATCTGTAACAGAACAATCTGTATGTAAATAGCTACGTTGTAAAAAGAGAATAAAGAAAAAAAGTCAATGCACAGACTCTCGTTTACACACAAATCTTTTGACCCAGTCCTGTCGTCAGTGTCTCTGGAGATTTGCTAGCGTAATGTGGTTGTGGTTGTTGGGCGGAGTCGTCGGATGTTTCTGAGATGGAAGTAGGCGATGCGGGTGATGCTATTGATGTGTGCAGTGAATGATAGGGTGCTATCAAGAATTATATTCTATATATTACATATAATCTTATATTACAATATATTATTGTGTAATGAATTACAGATCAAATGAATTCTTCAAAGATATACAGGTGTATTGTGATGTGAAATTACAACAAGTGGATCAAGCAACTATTAGTGAGAGTAGTTGCATCCGCAACATTGGCTTTACTTGAGGTGAGATGGAGCACAACACTTTGGCTCTGTCCTCGTCGAAATATCGCAATAGGACATTCAACATTCTGACCACATTTGTTTGTGGACTCTCCATGTTTAAGAAAAAAGTTTCCCTATCAACTTGGTGGCTAGTGCACGGTGCACTTCGATCAACCGCAAATGATTTCATTAAATCTACCAGCGGTTGTGATATTCTGAGCGAGTTATTATCTGGGATAAAGCCACAGACTCATAGTTTTAGGTCACAGACACGGTCTGCTATAGCGGGCCAAGTGTCAGTTGTCGCTGATGCACCAGGTAAAGATGAAGTTTGGGAAAGTGCACGGACAGCTGCCTCGTGCGCAGTTTCGAGCTGGTGGCGAATCAAAACTTTTCTCTCATTAATCCCATATAAAAAAAAATATGGCGAAGAACGAACAAGCACCGGCCTCCTTCATCTTTTTGCACCATGACTGCAACAGAATCCCATCGTCTCCGCCTCATCCAGCCATGCCCACCTCCATTTATATTTCACTCCGTGGTCAATTGCAACTTGTACTGCTCCTTCCATAAACAATGAATGCATGATTGTGATTGTGCGTGCATGCTGGGCTAGTTTAGATAACAAATAAAAAAGACCAGCTAACACACTACTACTCCCCCTACTACAATTTTCGTCAGCCAGTTTCTTCCGTTCGCTCTCGTTGATTGGCTCTTTTATATCACGCTTAGTTTTGCATGCAATGCAAACAAGACATTATCAAAAGCTCACCAAGACATGTTTGTCCCCATTCCCAGTCCCAGCAAAGTCTTTTGTACATTCCGTTAAATAAAAAAGCATTGCGTTTGGTTAACGTTAATTATTTATGTCCTACCTCTCCTCTGGTAACGCTCCTAGCTTACTGGTCCGCGGGCTGCTGGCTGTTATTGCTCCGTTCGAGATTACATTTTCCTTCTCCTCTTCTCCTTTTCAAAAGCTCCGTGCACTTTCCAGAAACTTTCACCTCCGTGTTACCATTGCTAATTTGGCCGCGTCGTCATTTGCGCATGAGGTCAGCTACGTCCCATTGCCTTGATTCATTTGCGGAGCACTCATGTAGCTGTGGCCACGGCACGTTCAAGGCCCACTCAGGATTATATTACTTTTTCTTTCTATATACATATAAAAATTATTATATTCAAATTATTATATATGTATAGATATATATAACAGAAGCCAACATGGACAGCACAAACAGAAGAACCGTGACTTCGCCTGGCATGGCGCAGCCGGGGCCCCACCCTGGAACCAAGCCTGGGGTCGGGGCTCAAATGCGAGCGCCTGGTGGCCGGGCCTTATTACTGGATATTTTTTTACATAATTAACCATTTAATTGTGTGTATTATTATTATTATTATTATATATTTTTTTTTTTCAGACCAATTTCATTTGACGGAAATCCGTCACCTAGACAGAACTCTTAAATCCCTGCTAAAGGCAGATAATCATCATATGTTTTCACAAACGAACTAGGTCAAGTGGCCTGAATTGTCGCCACAGGGGTGTGAAGGCCAATTTTTTTCTTACCATATTTTTTCAACCCTGCCAGCCCAAATGCGGGTGTATTACAATGCTTGGTCCAGCTGGGGGAGCTAAGACAAACTTCAACTACCTCGGGGTTCGAGTTAAGTTTCCGTTTCTCTTCCCGTTTATGCTCGGCTACTGTGGCCAACAAGCTCCAGCATGGAGAGTCAATCTGTACAAATGTGTCTTTTGCCAATGTGCAGCAGCTTAGTGGGTATTGTTTGTGTATGTGTGTGTGTATGCAGCCGCGCGGCGGACACTGGAGCGCATTAGAGTGAACGGTGTGAGCCTGAGAAATTAATGAAAATTAAAGAATGAAAAGTGTGGCGTACAAGCAGAGCAATTGGAGCAGGATACACGAGTATGTTAGTGTGTTTTGGCCGAAGTGTTATTGGAATAGCATCCTCCGTAGGAAACCCACTTGATGGAGCCCTGGAGCCACACACTCCCCTGCGTCCCTTTACCACGGTCCGGGGGCTTATATGAAAGATCTAACACAAGCAAGGGAGGATGCGAAAGTATGGCACTGCTAAGTAAAGACGCAGCAGGAAGACGCAATGTGACGCCCAATATCACTTCCCCACCACACCTCACATGTACATTTCTCCATTATAAGATAAGAAACTAATAGTTTATTAGAAACGAATAGTTTCTTATCTTAAATGCATTTCAATGGCGAAGAGCAATGGTTTTTACAGCATGTTGGAATTCTCAATTGTAAACTAAATCAACCATGTGTTTTTGTAGAGAAGAGAAGATGTGGAGGAAGTGACAACAAACCTTATATCCTTTAGAATATGTAAGAATCTGTAGAAAAGTAAAACAGGTTTTTCCAGTGCAGAGTAGGGCTGCACGATATTGGAAATATTGAGCAATATTCGATATGAGTGTTTAGTATTGCGATAACTATTATTGCAATATTTTTTTTCTTTCACCTAAAATTGCAATGTGCATTCAAATGCAAGAGACAAATAAAGAATAACCACAACATTAACTCATTGCCTGCCAGCTTATTTCAGAACAGGTACTCCCATATTGCCGGCAGTTTCTGATGATTGTTATTGATTTTCAAGACCCACAGAATATTGTGTACTATGGCTGATCTGAAATTCTATACCAGAAGTCTTCTTTCATTAGCAAAAAGAATTTTGTTTCTAGCTTGTTTCTTTCCCCTGGAATCAATTCAGTCGAGTAGAGGGAAGTTCACCAGTCTCAGACAAAAAGCAAAGAAAAAGTGTTGGAACACGGAAGAAACTTGTCTATTGGTTGCTACAACCGTACACCGCACAAAAAGATGGTATTTTGACAGCGCTTCTTCTTCTACTATATCTCAGCCTCTTGTACGGTGTAGTCTGCTGGAACAGCAGCATCACAGAGAGGGACAGGAAGAAGCTGGACAAGGTCATCAGGAAGTCCAGCTCAGTCCTGGGCTGTTCCCTGGACACAGTGCAGCAGGTGGGGTAAAGGAGGGTCCTGAGCAAACTAACATCTATGCTGGACCATGACTGTCGCCCCCTGCAGGACACTCTCTCTGCTCTGGAGAGCAGCTTCAGTGACAGACTAATTCACCCTCGCTGTGTGAAGGAGAGGTTCCGTAGGTCTTTCCTTCCTGCTGCTGTCAGACTGTACAATAAGAACTGCTGAGCCTGTAAATTTCATTCATCTGTAATTAAGTAAATTCTTAAATCATGTGCAATGTGCAATACTGCAACTTCAGAATGTCACAGAACAATGTCACTTTACCTCATGTCACTTTACTTATATACTTTTTATCCTGCACTATTTAACTGTACAGTATATAACTGCACTACTACATATATATATATTGACTGGTATTGAAGCATTTTCAGCATCTACAGCTAGTTATGTTAGCTAAGAAACTACTTATTTGTATATATTGTGTGTGCTCCCTGTGTGCTCTTACTACTGTCCTGTCTGTGCGATGCAACATCGAAATTTCCCCACTGTGGGACGAATAAAGGAATTCTTATCTTATCTTATCTTATATCTATGTGTATAAACACGGAGATTCTTATCCACGCATTTGTCTCCAGTAGGTTAGACTACTGCAATGGCCTGCTCACAGGTCTGTCCAAACAGGCTGTAAAACAGCTACAGTACATTCAAAATGCATCAGCTCGAGTCCTGACTAGAACCAGGAAGTACGACCATATTAGTCCTAACTAGAACCAGGAAGTACGACCACATTAGTCCTGACTAGAACCAGGAAGTACGACCACATTAGTCCTGACTAGAACCAGGAAGTACGACCACATTAGTCCAGTCCTCAGGTCTCTGCACTGGCTTCCTGTGGCTCAGAGAATAGACTTTAAAACAGCTCTGCTTGTTACAAGTCTCTCCATGGCCTCGCACCAAAATACATTAGTGACATGTTAGTCCCATATGAACCAGCCCGGACTCTGAGGAGCACAGGGACTGGACTCCTGCTGGGACTCTGAGGAGCACAGGGACTGGACTCCTGCTGGGACTCTGAGGAGCACAGGGACTGGACTCCTGTTAGTGCCCAGAGTCAGAACTAAACATGGGGAGGCTGCTTTTCAGATTCATGCTGCTAAAATCTGGAACAGTCTTCCTGAAGATGTGAGACAGGCCTCCTCTCTGACAATGTTTAAAACCAGGTTAAAGACAGTTCTGTTTAGTTGTGCATACAGCTGAGGGATTTTATATTTTTATCTTTCTTTTTAATGTTCTGTGATTATTTATTTATTATTTTAATGCTTTCTTGTTTTGTTCAGCACTTTGAGTTGCCTTGTGTATGAATTGTGCTATACAAATAAACTTGCCTTGCCTTGCCTTAAACCCGGCAGACTGCACCGCCAGGGTACGTCAAGTCCTGTCTTTCGTTTCTTATTTGCGCCACTGCCCTGACGTCATATGAAACCCAAGAATAGTGACTGCATAGTCTATGCAGCCACTCAATCTTTAGGATAGCATATAGGGGCTGCATAGTCTACGGCCAGTGGTTCCCAAAGTGGGGGTCCCAACCTCCCGTGGGGGTCGTGAGACGATAAAAAAAAATAATATGAAAAAATTGGCCCTTAAATATTCATTTTGCATTTGATTTCATTCAAAAGGACTAATTGTTAAATGTGATGCAATCTGGGAAAACCTATCACATGATGAAATCTGACCAACTTGAGATTCTGATACCATCTTAAAGCTGATTTCAATCTCTTTTCCAATTGACACTTGTCACTTTTGTTGCACATAATTATTGTCACTTTATTGTACATATATCCTAGCCTGGCTAACGCCAGACGAAATATCACAAGTGATATTTAGTCTGGGGACCACCAATTCATTTTCTCGTAGGAAAGGTGTGGTTTACGATTGTCCATAGCCGTTTATTGGGTGCTACGAATGTCAATCATATGCGTCTGCAAGTAGCCATAGCCAATCGTATCAATTCTACCCGATGACGTAGTTTGAGCGACAGAAATTCGACGAGGAAGGAAGAAGCGAAGAAGCGAATGATGTTTACACGTAGTTTACACAATGGAGCCGAGTGATCACTGTCGTTTGTGCGCGTTAAACATGAGGGAAGATGGGCCGTCCACATATAGACACTCCACAGACATGTTTTTAACGAAAAAAACAGCGAGCATGTCAGAGAGGTTAGCGTTGTTGGGTTTGATTGTCGCCCCGGAGTCAGGGAAATCAAATAGATGCTGCTCGCGTTGCTCCTCCATAATTAGCAGGCTCGAAAGAGACTTGCCTATATTCAGAAAATGGGAGGAGGACTTCGGAGACAGCAGCATATGCAAAAGGCAACGCGAGCCTACGCCGTCAAAAACTCAGAGGGCTTCAAAAAAGATCTGCCCAAACCCACCGAGTCCAAGTGCCAGCTCCATCGGACATACAACAACAACCCAGGTATCAAGTTTAATTGTCTGTTGACTGGCTCCAGCTAAATTGTATTCATGCTAACTAAATGACGTAACAGAGCATTTTAATCTCACAATAAGCAACCTAGCTGTTCTTATTACATCTGCCAATAACGTCATTACAATACAATAGAAAATGAACAAAGTTAATGGTGTGTTGTTTATTTAGTTGAAGTTCGAAAGGATTCGAGCGCACACAGCAGTCTGGCGTTAGCCAGGCTACATATATCCTGCATGTAACATGTTTGCACATTTCCTCCTTTTGCACAATCTGAGTCTCTATCCATGCCAAATGTGACATGTAAATTTCTCCAATGTGAGATAAATAAAGCACATCTTATCTTATCAAATCGGTTTTCCTTTTTTTCATAGCATGTCTGTAACAAATGTTATTATCTGAAGTCAGCTTATTAACATGGTTTCATGAAAGTGAATTTTGAGAAAAACAGGTATAAAGATAAACATTCAAAATAGAATCACCAAAATCACATTTAACATGTTAAATTTGAATTACTCTTATGGCACACACTTGTTTTAGTCACTATGTTGCAAAATATAAAACATTTTTTTACTTTGGCACCAAGCAAACACACAACACTCATTAGATGAAAATCAAGAATGGATTTATTCATTCAACATTCAATGAATTTAATTTCTTTTACGTAACTTTTCCTCTTCTTTTGTGTCTTTCCCTTTAAAAGCTACTGTACATTATATATGTATTAAACAATGCCAGTATTATTCTATCATTATGCTGGATATTATCAAATCACGCAGTATAAATATCCACGCACAACCAACATGCGTTTTTATTGCAAGAGGAATATTAGGTACTCGAGCTTTAATTTTGTGAGTTTTGGTTGCGCAAAGGTAGGAGACACGGGGGAGACATGCACTTGCAACACGCTGGGGATTGTCCTGAACGCGTGTCAATGGTTCTGTCCGTGTGTCTATGGTCCGCGCTCGGAGCCACGTCACGGCAGTGCGTTCACTGAGCTGTTACCAAAGCGGCTGTCACCAAAGCGGCCGCAGCTGCTCCCGGGGTCAGAGCAGAGGATATAACGTTCACGTTCGGTTTATCAAAACATATCACAATTTTTAATGTATAAAACTAGTGAATTTCACCTAGATATTTTCAGAAATTAAAGCCAAGATGTTATATAATAATTATTTAATGAAAACACAATTTTGCTGTGCTTTGCTAAAGTTAAACGTGTTTGGAGGCTACATACAAATAATTCCTGCTTTAAAATGAAACGTGGTTAATATCCACAACAGAAAAATCCGGAGGGGGAGAAAAGTCACTTGTGCCAGAGGTGAGGCTGATAGTGCGAAGACTGTAGCGGAGGAACATCCGAGAGGGCGGCGGAGTCACAAGAACTGCCCTCCACCTCTGCTAAGGGGGGATCCAGCCAAGCCCATCACTTCATCACTACGCAAGTAAAAATACCCATGGCTCTTTTTTTGGGCTGGCGAGTGCAGCTCGGTACGTGCCGCTACGCGCCACTACGCTCGTCTCCTCGTGTTTTGTGGACTGTCCTCGCTGATAACGTGGGCACGAGTCTCTACGCGAGTCTATACTCTACACGTGACGTGTGATGTGTGTACAAATGCATTACTCTGGATCAAGGAAATACATGCAACCTGTCTGGTACCTGTCCTTTGGCGATGAGGTAGGCCACAATGGAGGTGTGTCCGAACTGTGCGGCCAAATGCACACAGCTGCAGCCTTCTCCATCGATGAGCGAGGGGTCTGCTCCATACTTGATCAGCTGGACCACCATGGACAGGTGGCCTTGTCTGAGGAGAAAGATAGTTCAGCTGGGCTTTAGTACAGCTCTTGTCCACTCATGCACTGTCTTCCTCTTTATCTGAGCAGAAACACTTCGATTTCACTCTCCACACCCTGTCCAGCTCATCTGGGAGAATTACTGAGGCATTGCTAAGCCAGCTGTGAAACAGTCCCTTAGCGTATCTGATCCTGAATGCCACTAGGAGCCTGTCAGGAGCAGTGGGTGGACGAGAAGTAGAGCGCCAGGGATCCATCTCCAGATGTTGATGCTTGGCTTAGTCACGCCTCGAGCACCCACATGTTTTTAATCTAATCTAGCCCTTTCTTGCTGGGAAGCGAGAGTGCTCACCACTCAGCCACCATGTCGGCCCCATCCTGGGTCTTTCCCTTCCTCAATGTAATGCATGTCCAGATCACCTCTCCAGGTAAGTGTCCAGGAGGAGATTTGAGCCATTATTAGTTTCATGTTATTAGCCTGAGGCTACACAAAAACAAAAGGGCTATTATCTGCCATTGCTGGAGCCTAGTTTGGCTCCAGCCTACCTGTAGCCCCGCCTACATAACATTTCAGCGGGCAGGTCGGTCCGGCTTCGCTCCATTGACAAACTATTACGCCCGGTATGAAACGTACCAGACCAATCAATGTTTCGATTTCTACAGTGATTGGCAGGTGGGTAGAATAAGCTCACGAGGTGTGTGGATTCTGCTCTCGACACTTTTTTACAAGATATGAACAGCAAATTAATCTTGAAATGTGAACAGAGAACGCCATCAAGGCTTTTATGGAAGGAGAAGATGTCTTACGGGATGGTCGTGAAGAGGTTGGAACACAAGATTACTTGGTGATCTGAATGTTTAATGAGGTTTACATCTCTTTGCTAAATCACTTCCAAATATTTGTTTACAATTTTGTTATTACTTTCATACAAATGCCTAGGATACTATTAACAAAATGTTGAATTGTTCGGTTTTATCTACTGCCTGGGTTACATATATTCAAAACGTGGTTATGCTGCTTAATTTGTGTAATAACTGATGTAAACTGAGTCGTTTTGTTTCTTAGGTAAATGTATAATACATGATGGTACGAAGTTTAAAGACTCATAATTTAAAGGCTGTTAACATAATTTAATTTTTAAGGACGGAGTGGTAGTTGTTTGCTTTTTTAACATTAACACTGTCTTTCTGTAGTAGACAGTATTTTTTTTAAGTTGTATTAACATTTGTTTTGAAACCCGTAGTTTAATTGAAAAATTGCTAAATTGCTATGTTCCATAAGATAAAAATTTTTTTACTTTGGCACCAAGCAAACACACAACACTCATTAGAATGTATTAATTAATTCAACATTCAAATGAATTGAATTTCTTTTACGTAACTCTTCCTCTTCTTTTTTTGTGTCTTTCCCTTTAAAAGTTACTGTACATTATATATGTATTAAACAATGCCAGTATTATTCTATCATTATGCTGGATATTATCAAATCACGCAGTATAAATATCCACGCACAACCAACATGCGTTTTTATTGCAAGAGGAATATTAGGTACTCGAGCTTTAATTTTGTGAGTTTTGTTTTTTTATTTTTTTATTTAACCTTTATTTAACCAGGAAAATACCCATTGAGATCGAGATCTCTTTTTCAAGGGAGTCCTGGCCAAGAGTTTAAAAGCATGAGCACTTGGCAATGGTTGAGAGTTGTTTTTCAAATACAAGTGAACGAAATGCGTTTAGCGAGAACAATTTGGACCACTTCAATTCTGACTGCAGACTGTTCCATGCAGCGGGAGCAGAATAACTAAATGCCTGCTTTCCCAGCTCCGTCCGGACACGTGGAACATTCAGGAGGTAAAAATCATTGGAACGTAAACTGGTTGCGCAAAGGTAGGAGACACGGGGGAGACATGCACTTGCAACACGCTGGGGATTGTCCTGAACGCGTGTCAATGGTTCTGTCCGTGTGTCTATGGTCCGCGCTCGGAGCCACGTCACGGCAGTGCGTTCACTGAGCTGTTACCAAAGCGGCTGTCACCAAAGCGGCCGCAGCTGCTCCCGGGGTCAGAGCAGAGGATATAACGTTCACGTTCGGTTTATCAAAACATATCACAATTTTTAATGTATAAAACTAGTGAATTTCACCTAGATATTTTCAGAAATTAAAGACAAGATGTTATATAATAATTATTTAATGAAAACACAATTTTGCCAAATAAATGACAATCGTCCTATGTTTACAATTTACTCGGAACGTGCCAGCGCGAGATCCGACGGGTTTTTCCAGATCGCATCACATATTGTGTTTAGTTAACAGTGAAAAAATATAAGATAATTTAATTACATTTGTAATTTTGTCCCAGACATTGAGTTAAAGACAGAGTCAATCAAAATCAAGTTACGTTGCTTACATCACGCACAGCGACAAAGCATGTCTGTCCTGCTGTGCTTTGCTAAAGTTAAACGTGTTGAGGCTACATACAAATATAAATTATGTATATACATGTATATACATATACATGTATATACATATACATGTATATACATATACATGTATATACATATACATGTATATACATATACATGTATATACATATACATGTATATACATATACATATACATACATATACATGTATATACATATACATATACATATACATATACATATACATATACATATACATATACATATACATATACATGTATATACATATACATATACATGTATATACATATACATATACATGTACATACATATAAATGTACATACATATACATATACATATACATATACATATACATATACATGTATATACATATACATATACATGTATATACATATACATATACATGTATATACATATACATATACATGTATATACATATACATATACATATACATGTATATACATATACATATACATATATACATATACATATACATGTATATACATATACATATACATGTATATACATATACATATACATATACATGTATATACATATACATATACATACATATATACATATACATATACATGTATATACATATACGTATATACATATACATACATATACGTATATACATATACATATACATATACGTATATACATATACATATACATGTATATACATATACATGTATATACATATACATGTATATACATATACATGTATATACATATACATGTATATACATATACATGTATATACATATACATGTATATACATATACATGTATATACATATACATATATATACATATACATATATATACATATACATATACATATATATACATATACATGTATATACATATACATATACATATACATGTATATACATATACATGTATATACATATACATACTATACATATACATGTATATACATATACATGTATATACATATACATGTATATACATATACATGTATATACATATACATGTATATACATATACATGTATATACATATACATGTATATACATATACATGTATATACATATACATGTATATACATGTATATATACATGTATATATACATGTATATACATGTATATATACATGTATATACATGTATATATACAGGTATATACATGTATATATACATGTATATACATGTATATATACATGTATATACATGTATATACATGTATATACATGTATATGTATATACATGTATATACATGTATATGTATATACATGTATATGTATATACATGTATATGTATATGTATATGTATATGTATATATATGTATATGTATGTATATGTATATACATGTATATGTATGTATATACATGTATATGTATATGTATATACATGTATATGTATATGTATATACATGTATATGTATATGTATATGTATATACATGTATATATACATGTATATACATGTATATATACATGTATATACATGTATATATACATGTATATACATGTATATACATGTATATGTATATACATGTATATACATGTATATACATATACATGTATATACATATACATGTATATACATATACATGCCCCTGGTAGGGCCTCCCATGGCAGACAGGTCTCAAGTGACGAGTCAGACGAAGCGCAGTCCGAAGCCAACCATGGACAGCACGACTACGAAAACCGTGACGTCGCTGGGCGCTCCCTTAGAGATAGGGTGAGGAGCTCAGTCACACGGGAGGAGCTCGGAGTAGAGCCGCTGCTTCTCCACGTCGAGAGGAACCAGTTGAGGTGGCTCGGGCATCTGTTCAGGATGCCTCCTGGACGCCTTCCTGGGGAGGTGTTCCGGGCACGTCCCACCGGGAGGAGGCCCCGGGGAAGACCCAGGACACGCTGGAGGGACTATGTCTCTCAGCTGGCCTGGGAACGCCTTGGGGTCCCCCCGGACGAGCTGGAGGAGGTGTGTGTGGATAGGGAAGTCTGGGCGTCTCTGCTTAGACTGCTGCCCCCGCGACCCGGCAACGGATAAAGCGGAAGAAAATGGATGGATGGATGGATGGGTAGAAAATGGATGGATGGAACTTTAAATATACAACAATAAAAAAAACCCAGGATAAGATATAGTACACTCCAAATGGGGAAAGAAAAAGGGGGACTATCCCTGCCATGTCTGAAGAACTACTACTATGCGGCACAATTGAGACCACTAATTTGCTTATGTAATCCAGCTTTCAAAGCAAAATGGAAAGAGATTGAAGAGGGACTGAGTGATGGTCCTCCAGTGCAAGCCATGATAGCAGACCAGACACTGCAGTCTCACCTGGAGGAACCAATAAATCCTTGGGTAAAATTTACTCTAAATATCTGGAAGGAAGTTTGTAAGGAGAACAAGTTAAACAGAGCAGATCAGATTTTAAGATGGTGTGCTTATGACACAAACTTCCTACCTAATCGTAATGACAAACGATATAGAATATGGGTAAATGCAGGTCTTACCTCATATCTAACCTTGTTACATAAGGGGCAGCTATCTGATTTCCAAACTCTGAAGCTGAAATATGGACTTGGAAATGAAGATTTCTTTCGGTATCTACAAATGAGGAATCGGTTCACTGAGATTATCTGTGCCAATAAGGACAAAAATGATAGCAAGTTATTAACAGTATTTAATTTAGCATACAACACTAATATGATTACAAAAGTTATTTCAAGGATATACCAGGGGCTTCAGGAAAATGCAGATAATAATACTTTATATGTCAAACAAAAGTGGGAGATGGAGATGGGCTTAGGTGTGGCTGATGAGGACTGGGATTTAATTTGCAAAATACAATGGAAAACAACATTTTCCATGACTCAGAGAATTCGGCTGGAAAAATATGATACGTTTTTTTATGACCCCAGCCCAAAAAAGGCACCTAAATGTAGGAACGGGATGTTGGAGACTGTGTGGCAGCCAGGTGGCCAATCATCATCATCTATTCTGGGCATGCCCAAAAGTGATGCCCTTTTGGCAACAGATTCATACATGTGTGACTGAAATTTTTAAATTCAATTTTCCATTTGAGTTCCTATATCTATATTTAGGGAAAGACACCCCAAATCTTAAAACAGCAGACAAATATCTACTGAGAATAATACTAGTATCTGCCAAGAAAACTATTACAAGGAAATGGCTCCAAGTAGAAGTACCAGAAATGGATGATCTGTATGATACAATTCACCAGATATTTGTGATGGAGAGACTTACAATGTCTCTGCGACTTCAGAAGGAAAAATGTGACATGTTCTGGAGGGGGTGGTTACAGTACATAAAGGACAGGAGACCAGACTTTGTCTGAAACAAGAGAGGGGGTAGGGGATACTTTACCAAAGTAAATAATGATATGAACACACTTGTCAATGTTATGTTTTTTTTTTTCTTTCTTTGTATTTTTAGTATGTCTTGCTTTTACATGTCGAATCTTTATTTCTACACCCATGTTTTGGGGAGGGAAAAAAAAAAAATTGTTATAGCTCATTATGACAGACTTTTCATTGTCTCATTGTTATCCCAACTGTTTGTATTCCGTCTGTCACCAAACTAAATGAGAACCTTGTTTTTTCTATTTTTATTTTTGTACTGAAAGTTAAAAAAAAATAAAATTATAAAAAAAGAAAAATTAAAAAAAAAAAAAAATATACAACAATATTTTAATAATTTTCCCAAACTTCTGAAATATTTGCAAACAACTGTATCCCGTTTGGAAAAAAGCCACACGCGCTCGTCATCTCACTTGTTGTAGATGTGGAACCCCACACACAGCCCGCAGCAGCTACTTTAGCGGCCGCTCAAGTATGTCAGACACATTAAGTCAAGTGAAAGCCGCACTCGTGGACAGTATGCATCATCACCGCAGCAGGGGCAGAGCTTTCGCTTCTGACTTTGGTTTTAGTCTCTGAAGGGGGCCTGCATGCGCAGATCGGCTGTCGTTCCATACATTGTACAAATACGCGGCCGCATAATTTTCCTGGCGACACGGGACGCTGTCAATCTCAGCTGAATTTTTGTGTGCGTAGGACAGAGGTTTTTTCAATTGTGCATGTGCGCAGCTTAGAGTCCCAAACGTTGAAAAAATTCTCATCACTGTGAGCAAGTGCCTAAAGTATAGATATGGACGTTTTTAAACATGATTCAATGAGTGTATTGATGCTGGGCTCTTAAATATCACAGGGAGAGGAGAGGAGGCCACAGTGGACTCAGGCATCAATAATTGAGAAGAACCAATTCTCAAATGGGTGATCTGCTGTAGTCCACTGGCCTGAAGGGGCTCGGTGTCAGTCTCTGTTTGGGGCTAATTCTGGTTCTCAGGCGGATTTCCACCAAGGATTTTGTTACCTGGTGGCCCAGTGCAGAGGCGTAGAGTTCAGGTCTCCACCGAGTTGGTCGACTATGGCTCCTTTCGATATGTAGTATCTGCAAAAAGAATGATCATGATAAACATAACTGCCCAATGCACTGCTCCAATCTTAGCACAAAGAGACAAGTGCTAACAAAAACAACACTTTAGAATCTCAACTAGTTACTCTAATTATGACAAAAAACAAGGCACGTAAAAATATTACAATATTTTCACTACCTTTGTCTGCGTCAGTTAGTTTGCACCATGCCTCCACAAGGAAGTAAGGCAAGGAACAAATCATTAGCTTTGAAGGTGAAGTACTTATTTTCCGTAATGAAATTGCACATTTCTGTGCTCAACAAGTGCTCCTCTAGTAATTAATTTGAGGTCAATATTTATAGTATGCGTATCTGTGCAATAACTTTAAGCTTTTCTTTATTTCCTTGTAATAAAGAATTTATTACTTTTATAACAACTTCTATTGGTTCTGTCTGCTTATTTGTTGCTGTTCAATACAAGAAATGCAACAAAAGTGCTTTATAATTTGGTTAAAAACAATTCCATATGCCATACACCCCTCCATCCAAACACCTAACAGACCAAAACACATAAACGGGCACTGTCGAGCACGTCACTCACTGCGTCATCTTGCATTCCCCCATTGGGAAAGCAATAGGCCAAACGACCAGTGGGCCTAATAATAAATGGCATTTTCAAAAAACGCTCGAGCAGGAACAATAATGGTTTCCATGGCTGTGTCTTCTTATAATGTATTAAAACAACACAAGCACCAAATTTGCAACCGTACCTTCCATAGGACGGCGGCTGCATGGCTACTTTGACTTGGTTGAAGCCTTCCTTCAACTTTGTTGCTATGAAGGAACTTGTATGCCTAATAGCATTTCAATCCACAGACATGGAGAAAACAAAATACAAATATTTTCGTAGTGGTGATGTTTGGTCATTTAGACATATTGTCATCCCAGGTCGTTTTTTGTAGTTGGATGGGGAATTGTTGAAACCCCAACTTTAGTAAGAGATGTGGCCGAATGTTGCAATTTCATAGACATATTTCAAAAAAGAAAAGAACGTCTGCTAGGGGTATCAGAATGTAAATAAAAAAAATCTTTGACGAATTAGTAAGTAAAACTGGAAATTCCGCAGAAACTTGTCTATATGCCCGGAGCAGAGCAGACTCCTCCCATTTCCTCAAATCTTCAAGTTAAGACTGAGCTTAAGGCCTCTGTATAATCGCGCGGTGCTGGTTACGTTTGCGGTTGTGCTGGACCTACACAGCCACAATTGGTGGTACACTAGCGCGTTCCCCCTGCATAGTTTTGAAGAGAATGTATTAATCCCACAACCAACCACATGATGGCGATCTCACAGGAGTTGCCTGAGAAACCAAAGCGGTCCCATTTACGCTGCTAATTTCTCCTCTTCAGAACAAAAACAATAGCGAAGCAAGCTGTTTGCGATCATTACATGTGTTTCTACTGTAGGTTTATGTGACAGTTCTATTGATTCATCGATTCAACTCATTTAACTGTGATGTTGTGATTAAAGACACAGTTCTTGTTCGAAACATAGTTGTTATTCAAGTGTATTCAACACAAACAGCAAAACAATAAGTGGTAAATATCTTGAGAGAAACATGAACTATTTACAAGTGCAGGAGGACGCGATAAGCTACGAGTACAAATTCAAACAAGACAGGAACAGTGCAAAATTAACGACTGTACAGTTATATATATGTTAGATATGCAACAGAACTCTAGTTTACAGTTTCCGCGTATATCAGGCTCTGACATGAGCCCAAACGTCTTTTCCTTCGAAGCACGAAGCAGTCTGCTCCAAAGTGCCTCCTCCATGCTCCCTGCAGCCGATCCATGCGTCCGAGAAAGTAAGCACACAACGAACCAATCACAGTGGAGCTGGTCTGCAGCGGTAGCCGTGTAGTTAGACATTTTCGAGGGTGCGCGGCAGGCTACGTATAAGTGTCTTGCGGTGATCCACACGTTGCGCAAGTGACGTCACGTCACCACCGTAAGCTCTGCCCCGTGCGACTCTACACTAGGTCTGTCACGATTACAAATTTTGCTGGACAATTAATTGTCTCAGAAATTATTGCGATATGCGATAGCATTGTCGTTCTGAGATCATTTTCATCTAATACAATGATGATGATGCAGGTACACCTTTTCCAAGAGAAATACACTTTTATTTTTAAAGACCACCGCCGGAAGTGGCGGAAGTGGAAAACCGCTAGCTTGATGCTAACAGAGTTAGCATTATGCTAGCGGCTTTTTGTGTAAAGTTCTTGCCAATAATGCAGCTCTGCAGCGTCTCTTTGTCCAGAGACATTCAAGAGACTTTATATAACAGCAGTATGTGTTCACAGAGATGCGTCATATGTTTATTTTATTATTAAATCGGTACTTTTGCATCGGCGAACACGCTAGCTAGCTAGTTGGCTAACTGCTAGTTAGCTAACTGCGCTAGTTTAGTCACTACTAGAGCCTGAATGAGAACAACTACTGTGTCCCCCGATGTCAATCCTGGTTAAGTCCTGGTTTAGTGCTGATTTAGGTCCCGTTTTGGCTGTATTTTGTATTTTTGAGTTATTTCAGTCTGCTCGCGTCACGCGTGACCACTTTGCGGCTCTCTGACCCTAGAGGGAGAGAGAGACGGGAAAACAAACAAGCATGCAAATGGAATTCCTCGTGGCCAAGAAAACTATCGAGCTAATTTTAATTATCATACAAATAATTGATTTATTAAATATCGCGACAGGCCTACTCTACACTAGGCTTTACTTGAGGAAGTGGGTAGAGTCTGCTCTGCTCCAGCTGAGTCTGATAGAAAACCTGCAGCCGCAGCTGCCCTTTCTGCCCGAGACCTCCGGCCTAGGGTGTCATGAATGACTAGCACAGAAGTCCAGCAACTAAACACTGTAGAGTTCAGATCAGGGGGGCCATTCTTTCCAATCACCCCTGTCCAAGTGTCCCCCGATTGGTGCACCGTCCAGAACCCCTCAAGTGAACTCCAAGAAGGCCGGGTACTCTGCACGTACAGTGGGGCAAAAAAGTATTTAGTCAGCCACCGATTGTGCAAGTTCTCCCACTTAAAATAATGACAGAGGTCTGTAATTTTCATCATAGGTACACAAAAAAAAAAAATTGTAGGATTTTCATAGAATTTATTTGTAAATGATGGTGGAAACTAAGTATTTGGTCACTTCAAACAAGGAAGATCTCTGGCTCTCACAGACCTGTAACTTCTTTAACTCACTTTTCGTTTTTTTCTTTCTATGGCTCGTCAAGGCTCTTGTGCATCCTGTGTCAACATTTCAGACCTGTAAACACTTTGGAACCGATCCTGTAGGGGGCAGAGGTGACACTGTGGCCAGATCCAGGGAGGGAGAAGGGGGCATGTGGTGCTGTGAGCTGCAAAAAGCCAGAGGAGCAGCCATGCTTACACAAAGGACCGCGGACCTGAGAAGCCTGATCAGTCATCAAACGGATAAATATGAAGCAGCTAGATGCCACGATGCTAGTTCTTCAGGTTTTAGTTAACATGAGACTCCAGGATCCTCGGAGCCTTCCCCCTCCCTCCCTCCCTCCCTCCTCGTCCAGCAGCAGCAGCAGCAGCAGCGGCTCCTCCCCCCGTCGTCATGTGGTAAGTTGCTTTTCACTTCAACATGTTGCATTTACGAGTTTATTTCTCCTCTTTGTCTAATGTACTATCACCCCCTCCAGGATTTTGCGCGCAATTGTTGATTGATGAATGATTATTGCAGGGTAAAATGATTGATTACGCGGGACATTTTTCTTAAAGTTTCCTTGTTGAGTTTGGAGGCGTGAAAATCTGGCATGCAGCATTAGCTGCCAGGGAGCTATGGATGATGTTCCCGTGTGGTTTATAGAAGGGACAGGGGGAGGTGATCCATGGCAGACCGGTGAGCGGGACCCATGATGAGCAACAAGTGTTAGATTTACCGCACCATGTTGTGCATTCTGCTGTGGTGCGTCTCACTGTGGAGGGTGCGTCAGGAGCGCGCCCGCTGCTGCTTTGGAACAAGGAGAGAGACTGACTCTGTTGTGATTTTGCGTTCAAACATTGAGAGATTCTGGAGGGAGTGATAGCAATCACTGGCTTATACTATAGTAAAAATAAACAAAGTGGCGTTTTTAGCGAGTATTGAAGAGTTGTTTTTTTTATCTCAATGTCATAGCTGCTGTAGCCAAAACACTTGGTATAATGTGAAAATGTATGGTGATTATACATTTTCCTTTGTGTTGTAGATTGTTGACCCCAGGACCCCAAAATGCTGCAGCAGAGCTTGATTTGGATCAGCAGCTGACTTCTGCAGCTCTTCATAACTGATGAACTGCTGGATCCTGGATCTTGTTGTCGAACAGACAAAGCTGTATGCAGCACAATATTTCAGTGCACACACACAGCGTCTCCCATTCAGCAGAGAAAATGCATGGACAGTGACAGTCTAGCAGCTAAAAACCTTTTTTGGTTTGACATTTCTCACTGGGTTTGTAAAAAAAAAACGAATCTGGAAATGTATTGCGAGTGCGGAGGAAGTAGATTCCACCCCACACTTCACCAGAGTGTGGGGTCACCTAATTACTATTCTTTATAAACTAAAGTCAAATTGTTTCACAAAGTGCTCAGAAAGTGTTATTTTTACTGTATATTTGTATACAAAGTGTTTTTATTGTATACAAGTTGAATATTTTATGTGTACATAAGACAATCCTTTGAGTGTATTGTGTGTACACGTTTAATTTGTTTAAAAATAATTATACATTAAAAATACAATTCAAAGTATTGTTTCCGTTTTGTGTCATAGTAAGAAACTGTCATACATTGTAAAATATCAGTAAAGACCAAAAAAACCCACTTTTCTGCTTGAAAATGCGCGTTTCAAAAAAAGGCTGTTTTCTCCAAATCTTGGTCAGGAAACAACATTTTGTGTGAAAGTTACCTATGTTCTACTCTCATTTGCTAAAAAAAAAAAAGGGTTAGAAACTTACTTTTTTTTTAAATGAAAGCCAAGGGATAGAGCTTTCATTTGATATGTTTTATACTTGTGTCAACCAAGGGCTCACATTTCTATGCGGTTCGGAAAAACACTAAAAATGTCCAAAATCTCTGGCAGAGATACTGCTTTTTAAATGGCTGGCAGTGAATGAGTTAAGAAGCTCTTCTGTCCTCCACTTGTTACCTGTATTAATGGCACCTGTTTGAACTCGTTATCTGTATAAAAGACACATGTCCACAGCCTCAAACAGTCAGACTCCAAACTCCACTATGGCCAAGACCAAAGAGCTGTTGAAGGACACCAGGAAAAGAATTGTAGACCTGCACCAGACTGGGAAGAGTGAATCTACAATAGGCAAGCAGCTTGGTGTGAACAAATCAACTGTGGGAGCAATTATCAGATTATGGAAGACATACAAGACCACTGATAATCTCCCTCGATCTGGGGCTCCACGCAAGATCTCATCCCGTGGGGTCAAAATGATCATGAGAACGGTGATCAAAAATCCCAGAACCACACGGGGGGACCTGGTGAATGACCTGCAGAGAGCTGGGACCAAAGTAACAAAGGTTACCATCAGTAACACACTACGACGACAGGGAATCAAATCCTGCAGTGCCAGACGTGTCCCCCTGCTGAAGCCAGTGCATGTCCAGGCCCGTCTGAAGTTTGCCAGAGAGCACATGGATGATACAGCAGAGGATTGGGAGAATGTCATGTGGTCAGATGAAACCAAAGTAGAGCTGTTTGGTATAAACTCAACTCGTCGTGTTTGGAGGAAGAAGAATACTGAGTTGCATCCCAAGAACACCATACCTACTGTGAAGCATGGGGGTGGAAACGTCATGCTTTGCGGCTGTTTTTCTGCTAAGGGGACAGGACGACTGATCCGTGTTAAGGAAAGAATGAATGGGGCCATGTATCGTGAGATTTTGAGCCAAAACCTCCTTCCATCAGTGAGAGCTTTGAAGATGAAACGTGGCTGGGTCTTCCAGCATGACAATGATCCCAAACACACCGCCCGGGCAACGAAGGAGTGGCTCCGTAAGAAGCATTTGAAAGTCCTGGAGTGGCCTAGCCAGTCTCCAGACCTCAACCCCATTGAAAATCTGTGGAGGGAGTTGAAAGTCTGTGTTGCTCAGCGACAGCCCCAAAATGGGCCAAAATACCAGCTGCTGTGTGTGCAAACCTGGTAAAAACCTATAGTAATTGTTTGACCTCTGTTATTGCCAACAAAGGTTATATTACAAAATATTGAGTTGAATTTTTGTTATTGACCAAATACTTTTTTTCCACCATAATTTACAAATAAATTCTTTAAAAATCCTACAATGTGAATTCCTGGATTTCTTTTTCACATTCTGTCTCTCACAGTTGAAGTGAACCTATGATGAACATTACAGACCTCTGTCAGTATTTTAAGTGGGAGAACTTGCACAATCGGTGGCTGACTAAATACTTTTTTGCCCCACTGTATGTTTTCCCCGTAGGCTGCCACAACAGTGAGACTTGTCCCCCACTCATTCACAACATGTGGCAGCTGAGATGGGGGCCACCCCTGCATGCTGCCTCTCTCCGCAAGAAACGCCTGAAAAGAGGAGAGTCCAACCTCTCTCAAGTTGTGTCCCAGAGCCCCAGCTGTGTGTGTGGAGGTCAGGCCAACTACAGATAGTTGGTATCTCTCAACCTCCCCCAAGAACTCAAGCTCCTGGTCAGGTGACATTCCACATCCCAACAGCCAGATGGTGTGACCATAGACTGTATATATTAACGGACAGAGTCACGCCTATCGCCGCCGTTCTAACTAATGGGCCAAAAATGTTGCTCTACTGGAGCTATCCAAAATGGTCGCGAGTGGTCCCGCCCACAAGAAAAAACGCATCTGCGCATGCGTCAGCCGGCGCATCTCCATTCATTTGAACAAGAGACTTCAAAAATTCACAGCAAGTAAACTAGAGTGGTCCAAAAAAATTCACACCCCTCAGCATTGACACACATGTGGAACGGAGCTTTGGGCCAAGAGCCAGCTTTTGGACCATCCTGTAAAGACGTTTTCGAGAGGTCTGCCAATGCTATATGTTAGAATTGGCTAATTCTTCTTCTGGGTCCACCCCCATCGGCCCGGGGTGGTATTGCAAGCATGTCAGCGCATGTCATTTTGGCCACTTTTGAGCCGGGACCCGCCCACACTGGGTGTGACCTGATCATCGAGGTCTCCGCCTTCGACTGCCGCCCATTCCATTGTAACTTGTTATTTTTGTGTTTTCAATTTATCTTGATTAACACGTTACAGTTCCTAAATCACAAAAGGCCAGTTGTAGCAGTGTTCCAAAATAAAATACATAAATCCTTATCAGCTGTTCCCCATTGTTAATACACTTTGAATAGGAGCAATATATCCATTTATTGAAATCAAGAAAAAAATAAACACAAAATCTAAAACATTTTTTGTCAGCTGTACATAAATGTATGTGTTGTTGTGGTTGACTCACTTGACAAGGTCTATCCTGTTGTTGATGGCAGCCCAGTGCAGAAGTGTGACATTCTCTTTGTCGGGCTGTCGCACATCGAAGCCGGCCTCGACCAGGTCCCTGCAGCGCTCCAGGATGCCATATCTACAACACAAGCACAGGCTGAGCCCAAGACTCTAGATCTGAGAAAATAGCCTCATCATAATTCAAATGGAACTACAGCCTGGCTATTATGCTACACAATAGCCGAATAGAAGGAGAAATAAGAGGACACATCAAACAAGATCTATTATTAAAGATGGAGATTAAAACAAATGATAACAACTTTCAAAGCGCTCTGAGGTGGGACAAGTGGACAATGACTCCACTTGCAGGAAGCCGAAGTCATCAGTGGACATATCTGTGGTGAAATCAGACACATCAATATTGCGTGTGATGTGTAACGTGTTTGCTGCGTCAAATTTCATATTGTCCCCTAGATCCATGGGTGTCCCATTTCTTGAGAATAGTGGCCTCCCCATAGAGTGCACTCTATGGGGAGGCCACTTTTATGGGGAGGGCACTTTTATGGGGAGGGCACTTTTATGGGGAGGGCACTCAGAACTCAGAATCATTTTTATTGCCACGTGAGTAACAGGAAGTCACAGACTTGGAAATTGCTTTGGCTCAGTGCAACAGTCAGAAAGAGATAATAAAAATAAAGAATAAAAATAAAGATTAAAAAACACTTCTAAGGAGTTACAGTTACTATTTACAATATACAAGTGCACATGGTGCACACAATGTAAGGTGACAGCAGTACAGTGAAGTAAAGTGACGTATGATGGGCAGTAAAGTGACTTTATAAAGGGCGGGGGGACAGGTTAAGAAGTGTTCAAGAGTCCAACAGCAGAGGGGAAGAAACTGTTCTTGTGGCGGGAGGTTCTCGTCCTGATGGACCGCAGTCTCCTGCCTGAGGGGAGTGGTTGGAATAGTCCATGTGCAGGTGAGAGGGGAGTGGTTGGAATAGTCCATGTGCAGGTGAGAGGGGAGTGGTTGGAATAGTCCATGTGCAGGTGAGAGGGGAGTGGTTGGAATAGTCCATGTGCAGGTGAGAGGGGAGTGGTTGGAATAGTCCATGTGCAGGTGAGAGGGGTCGGCTGTGATACGACCAGCCCGACCTCGAGCTCGGGCGACGTACAGGTCCTGCAGCGATGGAAGGCTGCGGCCGATCACTTCCTCTGCAGAGCGCACAATGCGCTGTAGTCTCTGTTTGTCCCTGACTGTGGCTCCAACAAACCACACGGTGATGGAGGAGGTGATGGAGGAGGTGATGGAGGAGGTGATGGAGGAGGTGAGGATGGACTCGATGATGGCCGTGTAGAACTGCAGCTTGGCTTTCCTGAGCTGCCGCAGGAAGTACATCCTCTGCTGGGCCTTCTTGATGAGGGAGCTGATTGTCGGCTCCCACTTGAGGTCCTGGGTGATGGTGGTGCCCAAGATACGGAAGGACTCCACAGGGGTGATGGGGGAGTCCATCACGGAGGGTGGGGGCGGGGGGACAGTGCTCTTCCTGAAGTCCACAATCATCTCCACTGTCTTCTGGGCGTTCAGCTCCAGGTTGTTACCACTGCACCAGGACACCAGCCGGTCCACCTCCCTCCTGTAGGCGGACTCATCGTTGTTGGAGATGAGTCCAATGAGGGCGATGTCGTCCGCGAACTTGATCAGCTTCACGGAGTTGTGGCTGGAGGTGCAGTGGTTGGTGTACAGGGAGAAGAGCAGGGGAGAAAGAACACAGCACTGTGGGGCTCCTGTATTTATAATCCGAGAGTCCGAGACATTCAGCACTCGCTGCTTCCTGTCTGTCAGGAAGTCAGTGATCCACCTGCAGGTGGAGTTTGAGTTTGAGTTTATTTAAGTGTCATGCACAAAAGTGCCCAGCCCACATGGGCTTATATGACACTGAACAACAAGTTCTGATGGCTACAGACCATATACAGACATGAAAAACAGAAAACAATTTACAATTTGGTGCATTATACAGGGTACAGAATCTGTTGGGTTAAATGCAGGTGAAATCGGGCACATTGAGCTGGGAGAGCTTGTCCTGGAGCAGGGATGGCAGGATTGTGTTGAAGGCAGAGCTGAAGTCCACGAACAGGACCCTGGCGTAGGTCCCCGGGGAGTCCAGGTGCTGTAGGATGTGGTAGAGGGCCAGGTTAATGGCGTCGTCTACAGATCTGTTGGCTTTGTAGGCGAACTGCAGGGGCTCCAGGAGGGGGGAGGTAAGGGACTTGAGATGGGAGAGGACCAGGCGTTCAAATGACTTCATGACGACAGATGTAAGTGCTACAGGTCTGTAGTCATTGAGTCCTGTGATCCTGGGCTTCTTCGGGACGGGGACAATGATGGAGGATTTGAAGCAGGCCGGGACATGGCAGGACTGCAGAGAGGTGTTGAAAATGTCAGTGAACACAGGAGTAAGCTCACTGGCGCAGTGTCTCAGAGTGGCCGGAGACACGTGGTCCGGGCCAGGAGCTTTGCGGGGGTGCAGCCTCAAGAAGAGTTGTTTAATATCTTTAGAGGCTATTGTCAGGGTGGGGGCAGGGCTGATGGGTGGGTCGTTAAAGTAGTGGGGGGTGGGGGAGGTGTCAGGGACAGCATCAAAGCGACTGAAAAAAAGATTCAGGTCGTCAGCTAGCTTGTGGTCGTCAGCACAGGGGGGGGCTTTGGGCTTGTAGTTGGTGATCTCCCGTAGGCCCCTCCAGACAGAAGCAGTAACGTTGTTACCAAACTGCTCCTGTAGTCGTTCTCTGTGCTGGGACTTGGCTGCTTTCAGTTCGTCCCCGAACTGATATTTAGCTGCTTTGTAGCCGCTGCGGTCCCCCTCCCTGAAAGCAGACTCCTTTTGCTTTCCTGAGCTGCCGGAGTTTAGCAGTGAACCAGGGTTTGTCGTTGTTATAAATGACCCTGGTCATTGTTGGAATGATGCTATCCTCGCAGAAGTGAATGTATGACGTCACAGTGTCCGTGTATTCAAACTGTCTGTGGCAGCTCTGAAAAGGTCCCAGTCTGTAGATTCCATGCATGTGCGCAGCTCTTCCACAGCTTCATCAGACCACACTTTGGAGCTCCTCACTGCAGGTTTCGAGAGCTTTAGTCTCTGTCTGTAAGCAGGAACCAGATGTATCATGGAGTGATCTGAGAAGCCGAGGGCTGGCTTGGGAACAGCGCGAAAAGCTCCGCGCACGGTGGTGTAACAGTGATCCAGAGTGTTCTCCTCTCTGGTCGGGCATTTGATAAACTGTCTGTATTTGGGTAATTCCTGGCTCAAGTTTCCCTTATTAAAATCCCCCAGGATAATAATCAGAGAGTCCGGGTATAAACGATCCATACACAGTACTTGCTCTGAGAGTGCGCGCTGAGCCTCGCGCGCGTCCGCGCATGGCGGTATGTAAACAGAGGCAAGAATGAATGAAACAAATTCACGAGGGGAGTAAAATGGTTTACAATGAATGAAAAGATATTCCAGAGCAGGAGAGCAGTGCTTGGAGATCACTGTCACATGGTTACACCAGTTTGTATTGACGTAGAAGCACAGCCCACCGCCTCTGCTCTTCCCTGAGAGCGCACAATGGCGATCCGCGCGAAACAGCCCAAAGCCCTGCAGCTCCAGAGCACAGTCCGGGATCCGCTCATTTAGCCAGGTCTCAGTGAAGCAGAGGACACAGGATGTGGCGAAGTCCTTGTTTCTTCTCATGAGCAGGCTGAGTTTGTCCATCTTATTGCCCAGTGAGCGTACGTTGGAGAGAAAAATGCCGGGAAGAGCCGTGCGCTCCTCTCCTCCTCAGATGCACGAGCAGCCTCCGCGCTTTCCCCTTTTACGGGCCCACACTTTTTTGGCTAGAACATTGACTAAATCAGCCGCAGATGCCAAGAAAACAGGCAATAGGTCCATGGGAACGGTGGGTCAGATGTTCACAAGTTCCTCACGGATGTAGGAACAGCCAGATGCACAGTTAAAAAGTAAAAACAAAAGAAAAAGAGCAGCAAAGAGCCGTGTCGACCGTACGAGACGCCACCTTTGTTGTAACTCGAGTGCCCTCAGAATTGGGACAGGCCCATAATACACAAGAAAGTGCTTTTGATTGCAAAATAAAGTGTTTAACAGCATGCACGCACACAGACACACACAGACACACGCAGACACACGCAGACACACACTCTCAGTTGGTTGAGCATTGGCATTCGGCCCTGAAGGTCATGGGATCGATCCCCCCATGAGACCTTCTCCTCCTACTCCCACCAATGTCTGCTATCATTGTGTACATTGCGGTGTCTTTTCGCGTGTCAAAGCAGCGTCAATATAGCACAGACCGTGCGCCGTCATGTGGTGAGGTGTTCAGGTGCAAACGCAAATTGGAGTGTTTGGTGAATAGGCTTTCATACAGTCAGTGTGAAGAAAGTTACGCGTTGTGCATGTGCGAGTCATGCTTTTATGTACAAATCCTCTCCTGGGGGTGCGTTTTGAAGCCAGTCCATGCTATTATAATGGTCCAAGGCACTAAAGGTTAGAGAAGGGGTGCCCAACCTTTTCTGACCCAAGGTCTACTTTTTAATTAGCAAACCTCCAAAGGTCTACCATTCCAGCATCAACATCAAAACTCCACCGTTACAGCCCTTACAAGCAACACTTATTCACACAACCATTAGACATCAGATTACTTACAGTACAGACCAAAAGTTTGGAGACACCTTCTCATTCAAAGAGTTTATTTTCATGATTATAGAAATTGTAGATTCACACTGAAGGCATAAAAACTATCAATTCACTCATGTAGAATTATGTACATAAAAAAAAGTATGAAACAACTGAAAATATGTCTTATATTCTAGGTTCTTCGAAGTAGCACCTTTTGCCTTGATTACTGCTTAGCACCTGTTGGCCTTTTTGACTTCACTCTGTGGTCCAGCCCCAAAACCAGGGGCTGGGCGATAAAATCGATTTAATTATTAACTCAAATTTTACGTTTAGGGCAATTTTTTAAATGAAAATTGTTTTTGTTTCCTCCAGCGCAGAGCTACAGGGCTAACACGCTAGCCGCGAGTCTATGGAGATCTCCAGACGTGATGTGGATTTGTTTTGTCTGTTATTTTGTGCA